AAAACTTTTATTCAATTTGTCGAGCTACCTTCGAAAGACTTTTATTGAGCGTTTGGTTATTTCATTGTTCGATTTTTAAGTTTTATTGTCTATGTATGAATTTATTATTTAATTTACTTAATAAAGTATTTTATTTCAAATTCTTTTTTGTAATTTAAAAAATTTGCGGGTTAATGCACGAAATTTTATTTACAAAATAAAATTTCGTGCATTACCCGTAAAAACTAGTTTTATTTAATGAGTGATGTGCGTGCATGGAGCACCCCCACTAGAGTCCGCATACAAGGGCAAGCGCTTACGCCAAGCTTAAGTAGTATATTACGTATGCGTGAGACACGCCCACAGACGTCGCTATACATCGTTTCATTCCGAAGCCGAGCGTTAGCAGAAGTGCTTCTCTCGTTTTTGCGTTAAAAAACTAGAAAAAATGCCGTACTGTGCAATTAAATTATATGGAAAGTGGAGTAAAACTTCCAGTCTTCAAAAAGATGGTATTACTTTTCACCGGTAAGTTTAAATGCATTACAAAAAGACAAAAATACTCTTATATGAAATTGCTTTTAATTGTATTTATTTTTTGGTGAACGCGTTGATGTCTTTTAACACTATCCCTTTCTCGCATGCGCTACATCATATATGCTATTCCGCTCTCACACCGGCACGTGTATTGCTAGTGACTTGACGCAGCTCATGTCTGTACCCGTAAGTTTATCGATAAGTTTGTCAGCTACGGAAATAGAAAAAATAAATAAAAACTATTTATTTCATCGTATACAATAACAGATATCATGAGTATACAACCAACAGTTTTTAATCATATCGTACTAAAATTTTAAACCCGAAAATTTGTATGGATGTTTGTTACTATTACACGATTAAACCGATTTGTATGAAATTAAGTGCGCATACTTTATGACCTAGATAAAGACATGGAATTAACGATATTAAATACCCTAGATAGACCACGAGCGCTCAAAATGTGTCCCAATCAAGAAGTGCTTAAACTTTATTCAAGCACTTCTTGGTTTACAGTCACGCGCGGACCGATGAAAAGTCAAAATGCCGCAGAGCTCCGTAAAAATGCGAAAAAAATACTAATAGTACGTAAAGTGATGTTTTTTCGACAGGTATCTAATTAATGTTTTTATAATTTGGTACATAGTCATCTTTATGTAATACAATAAGTTATTTATATAATTTGAGCCAAATAAACGTTTTTATTATTATTATAAATTTAACGCATTTGAAGCAAATTTTATTGTAATACTTACTATAAACTGATTTAATATAACATATTTGTGATACTCAAAAGCATGGTCGGTTATACGTCGCCCTATAGCCGTCTTTTTTCTTCGCGGTCTGTACCTGCTATAATAGCTAACAGCACATTCAGAATTGAGCGCGAAAAGTTAAAAAAAATAAGGTCTATTTTCTTTCGCATATAACAATAAGTCGTAAAATTTTAGGAACTTGCATTTTGAACTGCCATAAATCTTTGATGCATGCGTTTTAATTAAGAGCTTATGCCGTATGCATTAAAGGTGACTTTTTTTTAAATAATGCATTACATTGATTTTGACCACGCGATCATCTTACGGACCTCTGTGAATCGTCAAATGTACCTTTTGGTCACGTTTCGGCCACGATTTTGTACATGTTGTCGTATCTAGGGTATAAAATATCGTTGTATAGAATACTTTTTGTAACGGAAAAATGTCAGCTTTCTTTAGGATTTTCAAAAAACTAAAGTTAACGTGGATGAAGTCGCGGGTGGTAGCTAGCATAAAATTTGATAAGTATTTACCAAGTTCCTTCAAAATCAATAATTTGGTTATACTTAGGTTATTTTGCGTGTGCTAAGTCAAGAGCCACGGACGTCACCGTATTAATGTTAAATTCATTAAGTCTGTATATCGCATGTGCCTTTCACGAGAACAGCAACGAGCAAAATCTTTAAAGAGATATTTAAGGTGATATCTTACAGACTGATGCGAGAATCAAAATACAGTAACATTACGTGTTTTATTTATTTCATAGGTTTCCAAAATGTGCCAAGATGAAGGAACTTTGGATAAGTGCAACTAAACGTAAAGATTGGACTCCAACTGTAAACAGTTACATATGTTCTCGTCACTTTACCACTGACAGTCACTCCCGCAAACAAAACGAACCTGTACCGAGCCGATGAGTAAGGCACCTTAAGTTTTAAAAGTTGTCATAAACAGCATATTATTGTCTATCTAGATATTTTTTTTACGTGTTTTTTGTGTTGCTTATATTTTATTTAGTATGTAGTTACTAGTCGCGTCATGTAATTAGAACGCTGGAAGAAAGTGGAGAGAGTATGTTTGCGCATAGCTACACTACCGCACCAAAGTACTAGGCCTCTGTACAATGGAGATCCGGCACTTTTCATAGAAAAAATGCTAAACTTGTATACAGTTGAATTTGGTCTCAAAATGAAGCCAAAATTATTTGCTATATAAAACTAATTTTGCCTTATTTTTAGTGAATCGTGGAAAGAAGTTATATAATGATTAATATTTTTTGATATGGAAACCCTAAATCTTCAAGGGACAGAATTTTACTTAAAATATTACTCAAGTGACTGTAAAAACCATGATTCCTTTGCTTTTTCTAAATAAAAAACCAAATCTCAATTTGACAATCCTAAAATACAAACAAAAAAATCATTCGCTCCCGCGTACTGTGATTGTGAATGTTCTCTGCTGTGATTGCCTTTTTATCCGTTATTTCTCTTGACGACCCGGCTACATATAGAGGTTATATTGACAAACCTACGTATTTGACATTGACAGCTAGCTGCTGATGACAAATATTGCCAGACTACGTTACCCAATTATGAAACACAGATAAAAAAATTAAAAAAGTATAGAACTTTGGCACATAATGCCGGGTGTTCTTTATTTATTGATATAAAATATCGATATTTTCTAAAATCGATCTTACCCTCATCACTTCGCTGCACTGAGTATATCATCTGACCTTGACGTGTCCAATCACAACGCGGCTGATCTCCCTGCACGCCACCGACTTTGGCGATTTTGATTTCAAACAAAATTTGCGTGATGCGGACTCTAGTGGGGGTACTCCGTGTGTGCGTGAAAACCTAAGAAACAAATACGTAGACTAAAGTTAATCCTGGACTCAAACTGATGCTGTCACTTTTGTTTGCTAAAATAAAAAAGCCAGAAACAACAGTAGATTTAAACCAAGGCTTACTGTAGCCCGCGTTTGAGGCGCGGAATAACAGGGTTAGTGTTTATTAAAGCGCCTACTGACATGCCTGCCGCAGGGACAATCTAGGGTGTAAGAGTGGGGATGACCCTTAATTGCCTCCTGAATTGTGATGTGTGTAGGCAAGTTGGGGCAATTTTCTAAATCGGGCCTGCGGCAGGGCGGCAGGGCGGCAGGGCGGCAGGGCGGCAGAGCGCCAGGGCGGCAGGGCGGCAGGGCGCCAGGGCGGCAGCAGCGCGCGACCACCCTAGCTTCCTAGACTGTCCCAATCGCCCTGCACGTTGCCACGTGTGTAGCGCGATTGGGGCAATTTCTCAATCAGTCGGTTAGTAGCTGTCACACACAGCGCACGAATTTTGATCAAGATGGCGGCAGATCATAATGAGCATGATGTTTGGACACGAGTGATCGAAGTATGTAAACCGGCCCCACATGTGGGATAAAAAAAAACAAACATTATTTATATAATATTTTTTAATTAATTTTCATTTTTTAAGTATGTGACTGTTCGATGTTTAAATCTAAAGAAAATATTACTAGAAAAATACAAATAGTTTTTTTCTTTTCTTGTAATATTTTCTTTAGATTCAAACATTGAGCAGTTACATGCTTAAAAAATTAAAGTTATGGCTTTAATTGCTATTTCTTCTTTTAAATGTTTAATACTTGTAAAGGTATTTATTTGGCATTGTGGGTTACATAATAATGCGAAGAGATGGCGCTGCCTTGCAGCTTAAGAAAGGCTCGAAAGAATTCGATAAGGGCGTCAGGGCTGCGGTGCATTCGCCCGGATAGCGAAGGGTGCGGGTTCGAGTCCCGTCTGCTGCCAGGTCCGCGTTGATGTTTTTCTAATAACATACACGTTATATGTATTCATTTCATTGTATTTCCTTTTTACGGTAACATATTTTAATAACATGATAGTCTCAGCATCATCAACGCGTGTGTTTAGCTCAACATACGCCCGAACACTGAATAGCAGGCATGAGGCAGAGACAAACCGATATTGGGCCGACTGCCGTGCACCCTAGATTGTCCCTGCGGCAGGCATGTCAGTAGGCGATTTTACTTACATAGTAAGCAGATTGATGTAAAAGCAGATTGGGTACAAAAAAACAGCTACCCAAGTCATAAGTCCACGCGAAGTCGCGGCGCAAACTATAATAAAAAATAAATAAATAAAACGCAAACATATAGTAGACGATTCGTTTTATTATCACTTTCATATTCCTTCCTAGTTACATAACAAACGTGTAAAATTTAAGTCATAATGACCGACCATAGGTAACGATTAAATTAAAACATCATACAAATGTTTATATATTATGATACTTACTATGATGAGAATATTTACACATATACCGCCTTATTAATAAACAAGGAATAAACTTAGGCTCGTATTACAGAATGTCAACTAAGTGTTGATCTTTTAGGTGTTTGTTTGGATTTTCTGTCCCTCTCTCCCTCCCTGGTGAGATGTCGTGAGATTTTATTCAACCCCCTCCCCCATCCCCCAATCTCACGTGAGATTTTTCAAAATGTGGGTTTCTTTCGTAAACGCGTTGGATTGTTATTGTAAAAAGAAAAAAAAATGCTTCGTGCTTTTATTTACCACTAGTTAAGACTAGTAATCAATATTGCTGAGAGTTATAAGTGTAATAAAAATTTAACAATAGAATACTTAATAGATACTACTGTGAAAAAAAATTGCGTGATATTTGTCGAGACCCCCCCCCCTCTCTCCAACGTAAGATTAGATGAGATTTGACTTGACCCCCCCCCCCCCCCCCCCCTTAAACATCTCACGTAATTTATGGACGCCCCCTTTCTAACTGTACTTAAGTACAGATCGACACTTAGTTGTCGTTCTGTAATACGAGCCTAACACTAATTACGCCAGACTTTGTTCATATCATAAATGACATTTCTCATTCAATGGATAGAGAAAAAACTTTGAGCAGTCAATTTAGACTTATTCTTCGTTTATTAATAAGGGTGCGAAGTTCCACGATGAGTCGCATACTAAAGTCGTTAAGTATTTTGAATACATAACGATATTGACTAGAATACAAGCAGTAAGTATTTATACGTCACCGTATAACGTCAATGTTCATATACAGACAGCAATTAGATAAAGTTACCCAAAACTGTGTAAATTATTCAAATTACTTTAAGCTTTATGTTGCTCGAAATACGATTCACAATGTATTAAAAATAATGACAAGTTGTGGTTTTTTGATGTGTGGCTGTCTGTACTGAGTGTGTTTAAATATTATACCTAAACGGTAAACTTATAAGCACTGACATTTTCACTTGCACCAACATTCTTGATTAAAATGAAGGCGTAATTATTCCATCTTTGTCAATTTGTTTAAAGTCAAATAGACGTAGAGTGATACTAAAACATGATTAGCTTTTTATGATTAAATATTTTGGGTGCAAGTGGGCTTTACATTTGATAATCGCACTAAACAGGATTCAAAAAACGATTTTTACAATCATACGGTGACATCTATGAGACGAAGGTAACAACTAAAGGCGTATTTTTACTCGCCGATATTGCTTAAAATTTGAGCCTTAAATTATTCACTCAATATAAACAAACTCTTAGAATTTGTAAACAAAATAATATCACAATGGCTTTTCTACGAAATAAATTCTAATTATATTTTAGTATATACAAAAATGCAAATGATAACTACATAAAAATATGATTTTATTTGTTTTTTAAGCATTTAACTGCTAGATGTTTAAATCTAAAGAAAAGTTTACTAGAAAAAAAAAGGTCCTGTCCGCTGCCTGGTCCGCGTGGATTTTTTTCTAGTAAACTTTTCTTTATACATAAAAATAGTTTTTTTTTAAAGAAACACGACATCTGTGATGTAAAATTCACAATTAGATTAGATTAAATTGAAAGTGGACGAGGCGTGACAGGTATTTAGATGTTGCCTACACTAATTAAAGTAGCTTTTATTGCTTATATATTTTTTTTTAAATAGCATATAACTGTAACACATATTTTTATAGTTTTATGTAAAAAACCTTCTTATAATTAATAATCCATAGTTCAGCATTGTTATAGACAGCGGCAAACTTGTTGAGCAAAACCACAGACAAATAAACTTGCGCAGGAGTCGTTTTTGTACGCAAAATTGGTTCTGCACAGGCTTCCTTGTCTATGGCCGTTGCTCAAGAAGTTTGCCGTGGTGTATAATTATTTTAAAATTACGATACTAGTTTATGGTTATATCATTTCTGAAATTTTTGTCCACGTCATTTTTCGATGCGATATTATTTCTTTTCGAATGGATGTCGTTAAGTTTTCCGTCTGTGTGGTTTGGATTCGATCTGTCGTAGTTTAGTACCTACGCCGTGTTGTCGTCTCGTTTCAATTTGGTGTAGTTTTGTTTCGTTTTGGTGCAGTTTTGTTTCGTTTCGGTGTAGTTGTGTTTCGATTTGATGTAGTTTTGAATCTATGTCGCGTAGTTTCGGATGGATGTCGAGTATTTTGTGAGAGATATAAGTGTTGGGACAGTTGTTGTGTACAATGTTGTGGTGCGGTGTAGTGTCGTTATCGCTCGGTTTTAGGTCGTTGTTAATATTATTTTGGCCCTCGGAGGGCATTATATGTCAGCGTGGATCAGTGGCGCCGAGTAGAATGGCGCGGTGTCGTATGAAGTTGGAGACTCGTTGCGTTAATGTGGGAGGTTGGGTCAAACGCGCTGCTGCCTGCCACAAACAACAAAAATAGGTTTTGATTTTCGTTCTCGTGATGAAATAAAACGTTCAACAGCCGTTTTAAGACAGGACAAATAAGTACAGTGTGACCGACATCTTTTGGTGCGTGGTCGAAATCGCAACTAATTTTAGGAAGGTATATAAAAAAAAGCTCGATGGCGCAAGTGGTTGGCGTATTCGGCTACGATCGTTGAAGTTAAGCAACTTACGCAGTGATCGGTCATTGGATGGGTGACCAAAAATTACTATCTCGAGTTCCTCCGTGCTTCGGAAGGCACATTAAGCCGTTGGTCCCGGCTGCATTTGCAGTCGTTAGCACCCACCAATCCGCACTGGGCCTGCGTGGTGGGTCATGGCCCAATCTCCCTATTCCACCCATAGGGAAGGCCTGTGCCCCAGCAGTGGGGACATTAATAGGCTGATGATGATGATGATATAAAAAAAAGGTCGATGGCGCAAGTGGTTGGCGTATTCGGCCACGATCGTTGAAGTTAAGCAACTTACGCAGTGATCGGTCATTGAAAGGGTGACCAAAAATTTACAATCTCGAACTCCTCCGTGCTTCGGAAGACACGTTAAACCGTTGGTCCCGGCTGCTTCTGCAGTCGTTAGCACCCACCAATCCGCACTGGGTCCGCGTGGTGGGTCATGGCCCAATCTCCCTATTCCATCCATAGGGAAGGCCTGTGCCCCAGCAGTGGGAACATTAATAGGCTGATGATGATATAAAAAAAACTTTACATTTAAACATCTAGCAGTTAAATGCTTAAAAAATATAACTATAGGTATAAATAAGCCCTCATAGAGGAAGGTGTAAATAAGCCTTTTACATTCCCTATTACTGTCTCCGAGTTATTGTAAATGATAACGTCTCCTCAGTATGGCGAGGAATATTTTTGGTTCTTAGCAATCCTCATTTCAGCACTTATTCACCAGCAGAGCCCTTCAGTCAATGTCATTTTAGTGCCACGAGATATTGATGGCACTGTTAGTGAGGTTAAAATAAATGTTGTCACTTCTTTGATTGCAAGACTATCGATAATTCAAACAAAAATGGATATAAACATTAATAGTGTCGATTCAAACAATCGGAAATAATCCTATTGATGTCTATCAATAAAACACATTTCTGCTCTCGATATAAATATAAAAATATATATTTCCAACACTCACACCAATTAGCCTAGCCCCAAAGTGGGCACTGTAAGGCTCGTGTTATGGGATACTAGGGTAACGGATAGAATACATATACTGTACATATATAAGTATATTTATATAGAAATACATATTAAACATCCATGACTGGAATACAAATGCTCGTATTCATCACACAAACACCTGCCCCCACCGGGATTTGGACCCGGGACCTCGGGAGCGACACCATGAGATCTGGCGCGTAAACCACTCGGCCACGGAGGTCGTCGCTGCTGAGATATTGTGAGTATAAACCCAAGTCTATCTAGCGAACATTAAATTGTAACACTATATTTTGATAGCTCCATAATGGTTTCGTCAAATTTTGTATGGAAAGTGCTAGTTTGTTGTTGCGTCCGGCAGGGGCGCTGCTTAGTTTTCATAGAAACTTTGACGATGCGATACGTTTACGGAGCTGTCAAAATTCGTGCTTGAGCCTAAGTACTTTTAGCACAAACTAATATCGAATTCGAATAGTTTGCGAGTGCGAAATGACATTGTCAAATTTTGTATGGAATCTGAAACAGCAGCGCCTTAAAGGACGTAATGAGAACTAAAAAAAATATCAGTAGACATTGGCAATGACATTTCCGACTCGTAAACTATTCAAATTTGGTATTAATTCGCGCTAAGGGTACTGTATATATGTGTCAGTCTCCGAATTTCACTAGCGCGATGCAGGCTTCCCATATTATTGAGTGCACCGCCAGGGCCGCTAACGTCATATATTGTCTTCATTAGTTATATGCGGGTCCCTACAGTCCACAAAGCCTATATAAAGTGCGACCAACGAGAAGCGATACAAGAGATAAACAAATCGATGAAAGGTCATCGACCAATGCTAGGATTGACAAACTTTTGCAAACAACATTAAATTTCATTTGTGAAAATCAATATAGAACGTTTCTCATTTTAATACATAAAAAATCTCAATTAAATCGTAGAAAACTATCATTCATTTTCTGTTTCTATCAAAACAGAAAATCACAGCAGTTCAAAAAGCAAAAATTATTTGCTACTATCATGAGTAGCGGGAAAGACGTAAAACGAAATAAAAATTTGTCATTATTTTTTACTCTAAAACGGGCGCCCGAATATCGACGAACTCGGCACATCGGCGATAACGCGACATAACAGAGCGACAACTAACGTCTTAAATGCTAGATGAAAGGTGTCAGTCTCGGACGAGGCGAATGAACTTTTGTATCGCTTCTCGTTGGCCGCAGTCGAGTCACTTAGCGGTTGCATAATTCGCAGTATGATATACTGACTTGGTGCAGTTTATGCGCGTTCCGCCTGCAGTAGTCGGCGGCGTCCGTCTGTAGGTCCCTCAGTTTCTGGGGATCGGTTTCGTCCATGGCGCAGGGCTGCAGGAGAGGGGGGTTGAACCGGTAGTACGCGCCCGCCGGTAACAGGTCTTGCAATACCTGGTGCACGCCTGAAAGTACCCGGTAATATTATGTTGCTCGCTTTATTTATAATACTGATCGACTTTATTGCAGACTATAGTTTTTTGCCATACTCTTTTTATTATCTCGGTTGCTAATCTTGAGGAATTAAGACGATAGAAAAGAAATCTTGTTTCATAACAAGCTGGGAAAAAGTGAATGATTATTATTCTTTCGTAGACGGTTAAGAAAACGGATTAAAAGGGAAATGTACAGAGAGCCACATGTTAAATTAATACAAACTCAAAATTGATTCCGATCACATGTCAAATACCTAATATACAGCTTAAAATTATTTAGATAAAATTTGATAATTTTGGGTATCTTGGCACGTAACTGCCAAACCCCAGAGTAATTTAAGAAGAACAGTAAATAAAATTATAAAATTAAAATTCTAATAAAACACAAGACGGAGAATAACGAAAATATTTTAGGTTTATTTTATTTTACATCAAATCATAGAATCATACAATCATAGAATGAATAACTTTCGGACCAACAAAAAAAAAAACAAAAATAAAAATTATAATTTTTATTATTTTTAAAGCATGTAACTGCTTGATGTTTAAATCTAAAGAAAATATAACTAGAAAAATTCCACGCGGACCAGGCAGCAGACGGGACTCGAACCCGCACCCTTCGCAATCCGGGCGAATGCACTGACCAATTATGCTACCGCGGCCCTCACGGACCGCGTCGAAACTCTTTCTAGCTATTCTTAAGCTGCAAGGCAGCGCCATCTCTTCGCTTTCTCTTCTCTTTTCTTTAGATTTAAACATCAAGCAGTTACATGCTTTAAAAATAATAAAAATTATAACTATAATTGCTATTTCTTCTTTCAAATGTTTAATACTTGTAAAAGTATTCATTTGACATTGTGGGTTTACCTATAATGCGAAGAGATGGCGCTGCCTTGCAGCTTAAGAATAGCTAGAAAGAATTTCGACGCGGTCCGTGAGGGCCGCGGTAGCATAATTGGTCAGTGCATTCGCCCGGATTGCGAAGGGTGCGGGTTCGAGTCCCGTCTGCTGCCTGGTCCGCGTGGAATTTTTTCTAGTTATATTTTCTTTAAAAATAAAAATTATTCTTCTAAAATTCATAACCGAATGTTTAACTATTTTACATCAGACAAAAAACCGAATCACGTAAATCGAACCCGAAATCTCATCGCAGTCGGTTTAAAAACACAATGTTGGCCTTTATATTGGCCTTAGTCTCAGCTTTTATGTCGGCGCGGTGTAAACGTTGACTCACCCTCAGTATCCGTAGCGGAGTCGAGGATTTTGTTAAACTTGTCCTTCCACGACGTGTACTGCGGCTCCGAGGCGGGTTTGGAGTATTGTGGGTCGCGTTGGTGTTGGTGTTGGTGTTGGTGTTGGTGTTGGTGTTGGTGTTGGTGTTGGGGCAACACCTTCCCCGTCCCGACGCTGACCACCGTAGCCCTGGTCATGGCGTCCGCGCCGAATATGAGGCGGGCTTCGTGGAGCCCCACGCCGGTGGGGTTGTTCACCACTATGCCGCCGTCCTGCGGATACAATTATCGATCACTAATTAATTTGTCGATTGTTATTTTTATATAAGAGAAAAACTAGTTTAAAGGCAGCGCTTTATTTAAATGTATATACGAACGCTATAAAACACCCTGACGAGATAAACAGAAATGACATACGAAAACGATAGACATGGAAAACGGTATAATAAATTTAAAACGTGTTCAAAAAATGTTCAGCCAGGATTACGGTTTACGACAGTTATGTCTCATCTAAATCAAATCACTCATTTTTTTTTTTTGTTTTTTTTCCGACACTCACACCAATTAGCCTAGCCCCAAAGTAAGCACTATAAGGCTTGTGTTATGGGATGCTAAGGTAACGGATAGAATACATATACTGTACATATATAAGTATATTTATATAAATACATATTAAACATCCATGACTGGAGTTCAAATGCTCGTATTCATCACACAAACATCTGCCCCCACCGGGATTCGAACCCGGGACCTCTCGAGTCAGCGACAGCCATGAAACCCGGCGTACAAACCACTCGGCCACGGAGGTCGTCTATATTAGATCTATGCTACGTTAGTCTCCGTTTGTATGCTGCTTGCGGCCGAGTGTAGGAAGGCCGAAGGGGAAGATCTTCCTCCGAGCTGGGTGATGTTAGATCGGGGGACGCGGCCCGACTGATGTTGGTCGGGCATATATTTCATGGTATATATGAAGAGTTAGCCTCCGAATTTCATTTGCGCGATGTAGGCTTCCATACTATTATGATCGCAGTGCAGGTAACGCCATCTCTTGAGGGTGGTGAGTGATGATTTCCTCCATCCGTTGTATATATGTGGGGCATATAGACCCTCCTGATCAGAAGGTCTAAGTAGCTAAATTTCCAATAGCGCGAAACGTCTAATGAGCAGTAAGTCTAATTAACAAAATGTCCATGTACCAAAACGACCAACTATCAGATGGCCTGTAAAGCAGAACATCTATTTAGCAAAAAGACATTTTTAAAATGTGTACACTCATGATAGAAAGTAAATGTCATTTGTAAATTACATTAAATTTATTTCTTACTAGGGACCCGCCCTCGCTTCGCTTCGGTGTAGAGCTGAAGACTATAGTTATTGTTCTCAGGCCTGTATTATACACAATGGCATTCTTCTTATACCTACCGCCGCCGCGACCCATGTCGAGCGCGGCAACCGTTACACAAAAATAATCCTTATACGAGTAGCATGATTCAGTATTTACGTGCGACGGCGCGATGACTTATTTCATGTATAAGTTTGGTGTTTCTATACCGATTTCTATGATTCTTTTTTTATTGAATAGGTAATAATGTTAACTTTTTTAAATTAGGGATGAGTGAGAGTATTATAAACGTAAGAGCAAACAAAAATAATCAGAATGCTCCGAACTGCTAATCTATGAGGACTTACACGTGTTATTGTGAGTCAACCATAAAAGATAGACATATGCTGTTGCGGGATATTTTTTAGACAATTTTATGTAGAATATTTCCGTCATACATGATTTCTATGTAACTTTAACCATTAAGGCTGCACACGGAAGCTAAAAAAATGGAGTAACTTCTCCCGTTTTCCCAACATTTCCCTTCACTACTCTGCTCCTATTGACTGTAGCGTGATGAAAAGTATACTATAACCTGCCCAGGAGTATGAAGAATAATTGTACCAAGTTTCGTTAAAATCCGTTGAGTAGTTTTTGTTTCTATAAGGAACATACACACAGACAGACAGACAGACAAAAATTTTACTGATTGCATTTTTGGCATCAGTATCGATCACTAATCACCCACTGACAGTTATTTTGAAAATATATTTCATGTACAGAATTGACCTCTCTACAGATTTATTATAAGTATAGATAGATGAATTTTGTGCCTGAGTATCCAGACATTTTGAGAATGTGCTAAATAGATGTTCTGCTTTACAGGCAATCTGATGGTTGGACGTTTTGCTACATGGATATTTTGCTAATTAGATTTACTGCTCATTAGATGTTTTGCACTGTTGGACGTTTTGCTACTTAGACATTCTGATCAGGAGGGCATATAGATGTCGCCGCCACACATAAATGCTAGATTTACAAATCTGGGAATGCTGTTTTACTGCTCCCTCGGTGGGAGGAAGACAAGAGATATCAGGCTTGATGGTGGCCACTGATTTCAAGAATGACTTGTACCTGTAGGCATTGAGGGAAATCTCTTTCGCTGGAGCTCCATACCACCTTAAGATGCAGGTTTCACCTGCCTTTTGTACTTGAGCGGTGGTGGAGAAAGGGTGCGAAAAGACCGCTGCTGCTTTCTGGATTTCTGGTGACTTGATAATGTCTCTGGTCTCTGGGAAGGGAGGAAATTTCTCAAACCAATCGTTGAGCTTGGCAATGTCAGCTCCATCCTTGTTTTGGCGGGCTTGGCCGAAATCTGCATGCTGCTCACTGGTGGAACCAACAACCCTACGGCCGGCATTGTTGAAGAGTTATCCGGTCAAATAGAGCAAAAATGTGAAGCAATAGACTTTTAAGAGCGGATAACTCGAAAATTATATAAGATATCAAAAAACTTGACTGAATAAGACTTGTAGCAAATTTAATCAGCTTTCACTTTTGTCAAAGTCTCATGTCGCTAGGATGCATAGTTTCCGAGATATATGCGAAAAACCTAAAAATGGGACCTTCAATCCGACCCCCCCCCCCTTCCCCCCGGCTTAAGGGCTACGGGCGGGGACTTTTGATATGTTTACCTCTTAACTAGTCCTAACAAAGTTACGAAGTCAAAAATTGTGTTCTAAGCATTTCCCTCTATACCTTTTCGTTGCCTGGACTATAAGTTCATGGAGTGCAGTTATATTACAAGTACTTATGAAACTTAAAAAGTTTGCTATAGATTTTAAAATTTTGAAGAAAGCAGTACTTCTACCACGAATCAATACTGATTTGGATTAGTTGAATTTGATTTTGATGCGAGTAAAATCACAATAGATTTAAACAGCGCCACAACGGATGTAACGAGAATTGAAAATCATAGATATAAACTTCTTGATATTTGATGTGTATCAAGATTAAATTTAATTATTTGTATTTGTTTGTAAATTTTAAATTGTTTTCAAAAATATATCGGAAACTCGCTAAAACAAGGTTCTTGGTAATAATCTCGGAAATAACATAAATGACTTTATATTGTTACCAGCTTACTGATGAGCTCAATGGCGCAAGTGGTTAGCACGTTCGGCGATCGTCGAAGTTAAGCAACTTTCGAAGTGATCGATTTTTTGTTGGGTGACCAAAAATTTACTATTTTGAGCTTCTCCGTGCTTCGAAAGGCATTTTAAGCCGTTGGTTCCGGCTGCATCTGCAGTCGTTAGCACCCACCAATCCGCACTGGGCCCGAGTGGTGGGTCATGGCTCGTGGCCCAATCTCCCTATTCCATCCATAGGGAAGGCCTGTGCCCCAGTGGCGCGCAGTAGTCCCCGGGGTACACGGACCGCACCCGGTCCCGGTCCCGGTCCCGGTCCCGGTCCCTCACATGATATATATGCTGACCCTCACCTGGTGCAACAAGCCGGCCATCGGCATCTCCTGGAAGTACGTGGGTGCCGCGGCCGACGCCCTCACCGCCCTCCATAGAGGCGCGCAGTAGTCCCCGGGGTACACGGACCGCACCCGGTCCCGGTCCCGGTCCCGGTCCCTCACATGATATATATGCTGACCCTCACCTGGTGCAACAAGCCGGCCATCGGCATCTCCTGGAAGTACGTGGGTGCCGCGGCCGACGCCCTCACCGCCCTCCATAGAGGCGCGCAGTAGTCCCCGGGGTACACGGACCGCACCCGGTCCCGGTCCCGGTCCCGGTCCCGGTCCCTCACATGATATATATGCTGACCCTCACCTGGTGCAACAAGCCGGCCATCGGCATCTCCCGGAAGTACGTGGGTGCCGCGGCCGACGCCCTCACCGCCCTCCATAGAGGCGCGCAGTAGTCCCCGGGGTACACGGACCGCACCCGGTACCCGCACTCGTAGGACCGGAACAGGAACGGACGCGCGCGCGCCCCGCCCACGCTCACGCACGACACCAGCGCCAGCTACCGGGGCACCGACACAGATTATGCGAACTGATCTCATGCACACCTCGAGACACAAATATTATCGATATCAACTAATATTACAAAAAGGAAAGATTTGTATTTAAGTATGTTTGTGACCGATTTTAAAAATTCTTTCACCGTTTGAACGCTCCATTATCACTGATTAATATAGACTATAGTGTATTTTCATAAAAGTTAGGGTTCCGTATGAAAACTTAGATAATATAACCCAACGTGTGTAAAAAATACCAAAAGATATCCTTATAGCGCGTACGCTGCGAAAGTCATTGACAATAGAACAAAGTGATGTACTAAAGTTTTATAGAGGATACCGATATCTACAAAAAAGTCCGCGATACCATATGTCTAACTATTACAGTTATGTCACAACTACAGGGGGCCATTCGCCTAACGGAAATACTTAAGAAAACGCTAACGCTTTCGACTTTATTTTGTTATTTCTGACCGCCGAAAGTTTTCAAATACCTCACGCTCATTTTTTTCAATATTGTTATTACCAATGCAAAAGAAAAAAAAAGAGCGCGAGGCATTTGAAAACCTCAGGCGGCTAGAAATAACAAAATGAAATCGTAAGCGTTAGCGTTTTCCAAAGCTTTTCCGTTAGTCGAACTACCCTGCGATTTCGCCCGCGTTCATTTGAAGAAAAACGTTTATAGTGAGCCAAACTTAAAATATGGACATAGGCTGTAGTAGACTTTTTTACAGAACTTTTAAAGAGGAAGAATTCCGTCATACATGATTTTTGTGTAACTTTAACTTTAACCAACGCACGCAACGGAATCTCACAAATGGAATATTTTTACCCGTTTTTGCAACATTTATCATCGATGCTCCGCTGCTAGTGGTCATAGCCTGGTAATATATAGCCTATAGCCTTCCTCGATAAATGAACAGGCCAATCCAAAAAGATTTTTTGAAATCGGAACAACAGAGCAATGTTGCATTCGGTACAACGAGTCCTAAACTACGCAACGAATTTCCCTATAGTTGTGACATAACTTTTTGTAGATATTGATGTCAAAACTTTAGTACATCACTTTGCTCTATTGTCAATTACCTGCGCTGCGTACGCGACATAGGGATATTTTTTACACACGTTAGGTTACATTATCGAAGTTTTCATACGGAACCCTAACTTTTTTTGAAGTTATACTTCTTTAGGCGCGTTATGAAAAAATAATGAGAGTGAAATTTTAAGATGCGCGCGCATCACTGTAACACAAAATTTTAACAGCATGAAGTTGGTCCAACTTCATGCTGTTATTTTTGTGTTTACCGCACATTAAGAAAATCTACCAACAAAATAGAAATAGAATATCTATTTAGTGGGTGCTCACGACTGCATTGTGAAGGCCTATCAAAAGTATTTATTAATCTGGAACAACGGAACCAAAGCGCGATTCAGGAGACTACAGCGCCATCTCTTGACCATTGGTGTACTAGAACCAAAAACTACATCTTTATTTTTTGTAATAAAGTAACAGTTATAGGTATTCATATTTATAATATTTATCCACATGTTTCTAGTTTGTATATTCGGAATACGTGTTTGAGTTTCATACAAGTGCAAATCACATATGTTCTAATAAATTATATTCAGTAGCGATTTTAATTGAATATTTTGATTATTTATTTATTTTTTCAAATTAAAACTGAACTTTATTGACTGTGTCCTTTTCCAGACTTTTTATTAATTTATTGTAATTAATTATTTGCATGCAATTAAAAACTAATTTTAAACGATGCCAAAGAAGGATAACTTCTCACGCGCCTACATAAGTACACGCACCCATTTTTTTAAATACTCTATAGCCTATGTTCATCACGGAAATTAAGGATGCTAAATGTGAAAGAATATTTAGAATAGGTCCAGTGGTTTCGGAGCCTATTCAATACAAACAAACAAACAATCAAATCTTGACTCTTTAAACTATTAGTATAGATTTTGTATACACGTAAATAAACCCTTATATGAAGAACAAAAATGAACACATTGTATAAAATTTGTTAAGTACATGTATTATACGTTGGTGTAAACGAGAGGTTATAGTGTCGTGAAATAAGATAGAGTGTGGTGTAGTGAGTTATGGTGTAGTGTGTGGTAGTTAAGTGTAATGTGTTATCACATACCTTGGGCGCGTGAATCCGATTGCATTGCGACAAAGTGCGATCTCCTAGATATTGTTGCAGCAGTTTTTCCCACGCTGAAGTATCGTAGTAAGATTGACTCCATACAAGGCGAGATGCGCCTGTAAACGACACATTAGTGTCAAATCTGGCATGATTCTCTAAACTTTAAACTAAATTTAACATCAGTCACTCCTTTTCTTTCTGTATGGAGAATAAGAGGGATATGCTGTTCTTGTTGCCAAAGGACAATGTTAAAATTGGCCTTAGAACCAACACCAATTTGGCATTATGATAATTCTTAGTATATTTTTTGCGATAATTATCAGTATTTAGATTGTCACGGACACTTCTAGTTAAGTAAGCTAAATTAAAAAGTTAATAAATAATCTGAGACAATAAATACCATTTTATGTGTATATTCTATGACAGCGCTGCGAACAAAACACTCTTTCTTCCTAATGCCGACACTTCACTTGGCTATTCGTAGCATTTGCTATTTGAAAACATGGCATCAGTCTGTCCTTTTCATTTCTTATTAAGCATGACAAGGACAAACTGTTGTCAAGTGAAGGGCCGGCATAAAACTCGATAATCTGTGGTTGTGGTGCAGGCAGTTTGCATTCGTAGTAATCTGTGGCATTCGTGCATTCTCGTTTCGGATTACCTGTTGTGTGTGTTTATTTGCGATTGTTTTTCCTTTAATTTAACTATTATGGCTATCTAATATGCCATCGACGTTACGAAAGAGCAGAGCCCTTATTACCAAGTGCTAGTGAATCTGTGCCACAACACCCTGAGAGGATCATACTGCCAAATTATTCAAGAGCACCTGATACACATTGACGCTGCATATTTACACAATATACAAATACATGTGATATACAGATAAATACAATATGATAAAATTATGTGAAAAATGGTCAATAATAATAAGAAGCAAAACTACAGTTTTTATTTTATTCATGATTCCTACCTAACCAAGTTTTTCCTAATAGTTATTCTTTAAAATTGCACCGAATAAAATGAATTAGTTGTAATATTAATTCACTTCATACTGAGTTCATAGGTACTAAGTTCATAGGTCGACCTATGTTTCATTGAATGTTAAACATAACCTCAAAAAATATTTTGTTTTCCTAATAATTTAAGTTCTCAGAAGTGTCCGTCAATAACCTTTGTTTTTACAGTCATTAACTTGCGATTTCGAACCTAGAAAATAATATTTCATGATTGTTGGTTCTTAGGCTAACTATGTTTGGACGCAGAACAATGTCCTTTACACGTAAAATTTTCTAGACATTCATGAGTGCATGTAACATCCTAAACTAAATAAACGATTATGATTATAAATATATTTTTATTATTACCATGTCAAAAAACACGAATTGACATTAATAAAATACTGACAGTTGTTTCAAAATAATTAATAAAATGGTGTGGTTATATGAAACACGATGCAAGTAAAACTTTCAAGGTGTTTACATCGCCTCAACTTTTTTGGCTTGAAAAAGTGTGATTAATTTTTAATAACAATTAAAAATTTAATGCGGCATGCTAAAGAAGAACGAAAAAATTGGTGACAATCTTCTAAAAATATACACTTTGAAAAAACAATATACTATATTATTTATTTATTGTTTTTATTATGTTTGTGAGCAGCTGTTTTGCGAAAGTAAATAAATTAATATTTATTAGTTATATTTTTGCGCATTTAATGCTCGATGTTTAAATCTAAAGAAAATCTTACTAGAAACCTGTACCCACAACTACTTTTTGGTATACATATACATAGACTAAGACAACACACGGGATTTGATGAATGAGAAGAGCTTACGCCTCAGTCATTCCAGAAAACTATCGATAATTGAGATTTCAGAATTATTTAAAAAGAATGTGGTTTCATCTGTTAATTTTCATATTCACATTGAAGTATTTTGAAAACGACGACGAAAAATTTAAAACTATTTTTACGATTTTACGTTTTTAGACATCTAAAACTTAAAATCAATGTATGTAGTTTTATTTTACTAAGACTATGATTATGAAGGGGATCTTATTAAGACTATGAACACAAACGAGCGTTGTTTACCGCTAATTTTATTTACACACAAACGCTTTAAATCCTCTATGAAAGATTCTGAAATAGCTTATATACTATGGTGATGGCATGGTTTCTTACCGCTAATGACGGATGTATTGCCGAACATCTGCTTGGAGAGAGTCATATACATTTCGCTAGCCATCTCCAACGTACCGCCGCTGCCTGTTTAAAACATACTTTTTATAGTTAAAGATATTACATTATTACAGGTTTATTTATTAGTTGTTAGTTGGTAGATGTTTTAATGTAAAAATTAAAAAAAAACCCATGCTTTCAGGAAGCAGACAGGACTCGAACCCGCGCCTTCCGCTATCCGGGCAAATGCACTGACCAATTATGCTACCACGACCTTAATATCCGTGTGGAACTTCCTCTAGTCTGTCTTTGGCTGTCAGATTTAAACAAAACTAGCAGTTTAATGCTTTAAAAAAAATTTTTTTCAGCTGATGGATTAAAAAGAATTTCGTTTATTTTGTTAACTTTGTCATCGTCATCACCCCTATTATTAGATGTAATATTATTATAACTTTCATTATAAACATAGGTTCATATCAAATTCGTTGTGTTATCCTAGATCTGAAGTAGTTAAACAAACAATTCGATTCAATGTCAAAAAGTTAGTTTAACGACATTGTTTCTGGAGGGAATCGAACTCGTAATGAAGAAGAGTTAAAATTTTATATAATTAATAGCGGCCGTCCACGCCTTCATCCGCGTTAACTTTGGATTTTTGATAGTCCCTCATGAACCAAATTTTTTTTGGGATAAGAATTATCCTAGGTAAAAATCCAGATAACGAACTATGTGTGCCAAATTTCATTCCCTTCAGCCGTTATCGTGTAATTGAGCAACAAACATTCATATTTTGTAAAATGAGTAGAATATATCAATTTACTTTCAGTCAATTTTCAAATCTCATCTCAATGCCCTTGCATTAACGTACGTGAATTCTGTAGGGTTATAATTTTTTTGATAAAGTGCTGCAATTTGATAATATAGGAACTTAATTGTTTTGGTTAGACAGAATGTCAAATTAAATTATTGTTTAAATCTAAAGAAAATATAACTAGAAAAAATTCCACGCGGACCAGGCAGCAGACGGGACTCGAACCCGCACCCTTCGCAATCCGGGCGAATGCACTGACCAATTATGCTACCGCGGCCCTCACGGACCGCGTCGAAATTCTTTCTAGCTATTCTTAAGCTGCAAGGCAGCGCCATCTCTTCGCATTATAGGTAAACCCACAATGTCAAATGAATACTTTTACAAGTATTAAACATTTGAAAGAAGAAATAGCAATTATAGTTATAATTTTTATTATTTTTAAAGCATGTAACTGCTTGATGTTTAAATCTAAAGAAAATATAACTAGAAAAAATTCCACGCGGACCAGGCAGCAGACGGGACTCGAACCCGCACCCTTCGCAATCCGGGCGAATGCACTGACCAATTATGCTACCGCGGCCCTCACGGACCGCGTCGAAATTCTTTCTAGCTATTCTTAAGCTGCAAGGCAGCGCCATCTCTTCGCATTATAGGTAAACCCACAATGTCAAATGAATACTTTTACAAGTATTAAACATTTGAAAGAAGAAATAGCAATTATAGTTATAATTTTTATTATTTTTAAAGCATGTAACTGCTTGATGTTTAAATCTAAAGAAAATATAACTAGAAAAAATTCCACGCGGACCAGGCAGCAGACGGGACTCGAACCCGCACCCTTCGCAATCCGGGCGAATGCACTGACCAATTATGCTACCGCGGCCCTCACGGACCGCGTCGAAATTCTTTCTAGCTATTCTTAAGCTGCAAGGCAGCGCCATCTCTTCGCATTATAGGTAAACCCACAATGTCAAATGAATACTTTTACAAGTATTAAACATTTGAAAGAAGAAATAGCAATTATAGTTATAATTTTTATTATTTTTAAAGCATGTAACTGCTTGATGTTTAAATCTAAAGAAAATATAACTAGAAAAAATTCCACGCGCACCAGGCAGCAGACGGGACTCGAACCCGCACCCTTCGCAATCCGGGCGAATGCACTGACCAATTATGCTACCGCGGCCCTCACGGACCGCGTCGAAATTCTTTCTAGCTATTCTTAAGCTGCAAGGCAGCGCCATCTCTTCGCATTATAGGTAAACCCACAATGTCAAATGAATACTTTTACAAGTATTAAACATTTGAAAGAAGAAATAGCAATTATATTAAATTATTGTGTTACAATGTTGAGGATTTCAGCTCGAATTTTAAGTGGGGAATTTCAACCAGGCCAAATCAGGCTGTATGTAGGCTTGTATGCTAAGCATAATCTCTTTGTGTTACAAATTACAAGAAATTGTTATTATGTAGTGTGACGAGGTTTTGTTATCTTTTTGTAGTGTAGAGTAATTTATTCGCGTTTGTGTAGTGTGACTAGTGTATCGTAAGTATAGTGCAGTGTGGTGTAGCGTAATTTGGTCGTGTTTGGGTAGTGTGTCTGTTGTATCGTATGTAGTGTGGTGTAGTCAGTAGGGTCGCCTCAGATCCGATGCGTAGAATTTATTGTGAACGAAGCAATATTTGTCACAGATGACCACATAATTTGGTATGCCATTTAATTGTGTCCTCTCCCTCACACCACAAATAGCGTTACAAAAAGCAGGACGCGTGAAGCTTTAAATAAATAGTGACGTTTTTAGAAGCGTTGTTCATTTACGACCAGATATCTCCTTAATATCGTAGCTATAGAGGCGAAATTAAGCTTAACTTAAGTTTTAAAGTGAAGTCAGAAAAAATATTCTGTCACTTTGAAGGCGTATATCACATAATTTATTGTATGTACCAAAATAAACGATAGGTAACTAGATCGTCGATATCATCGTTAATAACTTTTACCAAGAGTTCATTCGGAGAATACTTTAGAAACGTGAAAAAAAATCGTGCGAGTACAGATCGACATATCGACGCACGACAGAAGCGATAACTTAAACCGTCCGCCCACTCCTGCCGTATGCGCGAGTGGAAGGGAAGCCAGACAGACTGGCGTCGTAACGCGTTACGTAATGAAGCGGAATCCTTCCGTTGAAAGTTATCACTTCAAAAAAAAATGCAACACTGTCGAACTCAACTCAAACGCGTCCGGTCTCAGGCGACTCTACATGATAGTGTGGCGCAGGGTGTGTACATGTGTCGATGCGTATAATACCTAACAAGGCGGCTATGATGGCCCCCGTGCTGACCCCCACGATGTAGTCGAACAGCCGGTGCACGGGCAGGCCGGCCACGAGCTGCAGCCGCCGCAGGGTGTACAGCGACGCCAGGCCCCGCACGCCGCCCCCGTCCAGCGACAGGATGCGGGGCCCGCGACCCGAGTACTCCGAGTACCCCACCAGGGCCAGCGCCTGCCCGAGGCGATACGACGGTTATAATCGACGTCATATACGATAGGTCGCGAGCCCGTATTCGGGTGCACGAAGGACGTTATTTGAATTCGAGCACCCGAAGCAATATTTACAACAGGAATTCGGGATGGAAAATGGTGTCAGGTGACCTAAACTACTTGCAGCAATTTTTTTAAATCTGGATTCGTTCTAAAACTAGATTAAACCCATAGCAAAATGTGCAAACGTCAATGTGCTTTTGACAATATTGTATTATGAACTGAAACTTGTTTGAATCAAATTGAGATTTAACAAAATTGATGCATTGACCTTATAAGATGCACGGTAAAATAACATCAGGGTGGAAACTTTGCACTGCGAGTAGTAGTCCCACTATAACTCCTACTCCTGTCGTCTGACGATGTGGACGCGACCAAAATTAATGGCCGATTGCTAATATTTTTTTTATTGTCCTGGTCGGTCTGCCCTATCTGGTTCCGTTACTTGGCAACGCTTGTTATATTATAGTGTTTATTGAAACTGGCCTTTAGTATATAAATAAAACAATAAAAGAAAAAATATATGAAAACTTAACCTAAAGAACAAAAGGAATATAATATAATAATCTAAGACGACCGATCAGGACGCTGCCTTTGCTTATGGCGCGATTACACTTGTACCTCGAGGGCTAATGACTATGCATTTGAAATTTTTATTTCTTGATATTGAAATATTTTAATACATAATCTTGAGCCGATTAAACTCTTTTTAATCTGACGCGTAAACCCTATTCAACAGCATTGTGTTACTACATTCAATCCAAAACTTATAATTAATTTACTACAGACAAACAAATGCCGAATTCCGCTTAAGGGGCTAATGATTATATAGTCTACCCTAGTTAGGATTACAAGAGGTTATCTCTCACCTCATTGACAATTCCTCGAACCTCCTGTGCGACGGGCGTGTCGTCCTCCAGGCGATGTCTCACACGCAGCAGCGCTCTCACGGCACCTTCCTATAATGGATAATTACAAGTCTCAAATATGTAAGAACTCAAAAAAAAAAAAAAGTAAGTTAAACGTTTTTTAATTTGTCGTAATGACGTAGTCCGTACCTGGATAGCGTAGTCGCTACTCGAATGTCGTAGTCCGTACCTTGATGGCGTAGTACATACCCTAACAGCGTAATTCCAAACCGCAGATTACTGCAGCAGGAACAGGAGGCACGTTAAACTGTAGGTTCCAGTTGCATCTATACATAGCAGTTTAGCACCTACTTGACCCTACCTCGATGGCGTACTCCATACATTGGCATTTCCTTTTGGTTAGCACCTACTCGACAACACTGAGATTTATCTCCTAATTCCATTCATTGGAAAGACGTGTGCCACAGCAGTCGATATTATTAACAGACTGATGATGAAACGCTGCGTGGCTGATATCTGAAATGAACTTTGATGGCGTAATCTACGAGTCCGCAGTCCCTCCCTACCTTGATGACGTACCATTCTGTAACGGCCCCATCTCTATGTCGTAGTTGTTACCTTGATGGCGTAGTCTCTAGCCTCCGGGTACTGCAGCAGGTGGTCGACGAAGTGCTCGGCGCGGCGCCTCAGAGCGTCCGCGCTCTCCGCGCTCAGCAGCGCTGAGATCACGTACGCGGTGCGAGAGTGGATCGATGTCTATATCAATACATAAATAAATATATTATAAGTCAAAAGCTAGGGTATAAGCTGGGTACAGAGAGTCTCAAATAAGAAGGTACACCGACGGGTAAATACATGCAGACAGCTCATGAAGACCATCTAGAGAAGGAAGGTTCTTGGTCAGACCATAATGATAGGGGATGGGAGAGATCGAGGGGGAAAGACACGTCGGAAGAAGGAAAAAGTCATGGCTCTGAAACATCAGTGTTGATTGATGTCGCCAGTGTGGAAGACCAATAGGTGCCTAACGAGAGGCACTAAAAGAAGAAGAAGACAAGATTCAGCAGGAAATCCGCTATGCCCTACCTCTCTTAAAGTCTAGTTATGAGATAGTAAAGTAATGGATAGAAATACACATAATGATTAACATTTTGTATATTTTTCTAGAAATCTATGTAAACAGTCATAACTTTTGCCAGACCGGGTGTGTGACCTTTTATATCATTCCTTTATATTTTTGTCTATTAATTTTGATACTTTATTTATTTATATTGTTTTTCTTTTAGTTTAATAATATTGTTTTACCTTGTCACTGCCACCACTGTTTTATTTCTATTAAATAATTAAAATTACATTCCTTATCCTTCATGCTGGGATTCAAACCCTGGATATAGGTACCTTAAAAACAGCCTTCATACCACAGAAGTCTATAGAATAGGGGACTGTTCCTAGTCACATTCAAATCAATTGAAGTAGTCATTTTAATATAGGTAGTTAAGTAAAGTGAAATCCATTTTGACTTTGTTTTAGGCCTAAAGCAAATTAATAAATCAATCTTCTAAAAATTATGTTCTTATTTCATTAGTTTGCGAAACTCAGATAGTATGTACACTGAAGTAAGCAAAACAATCATAAGTTTATCATCTAGAGGCCATCTTAATTCCTGTTATCATGTTTTCAACACTTATCTACTCCAAATAACACTTTCTTTTAAAGAATTCATACAGTTTATTTGTGTTTAAATAACAGATGAAATTTAATGACGTAGGTAAGTACATTAGATTTTATCTGTTTCTACATATAGTGTTTATAGGATATACAAACTACTATTTCAGTGACATGTATTTCAGATTAAGATAAGCACGAATAAAGTTTAACCCAATTAAAAAATCAAATTCATAACAATCTTTATATTTTAGATGTTTACCTAATAAGGAAACCAGGAAACCGTATAGCTAGCAACCGCTTACTAATAATGAAATAGTAAGGCCCAAGCACGAATTTTGACAGTTCTGTAATTGTATAGTCATCTTCAAATTTTGTATGGAAGGAGCCATTTTGTTCTTACATCTGGTAGGGGCGCTGCTTAGTTTACATAGAAACTTTGGCAATGGGATACAATTAAGGAGCGATCAAAATTCCTCTAAATAACAATATCTACTTACTTTGGTCACAATTGGTTTATTATTCTTCCAGCTTGGCTCGGATATCTTGCCAAAATGTAAGTCTTTCTTAAGTTTGAGCCCCCGCATCAGGCTGTCAAATGATATTGGAGAGCTCTCTGAGAACCCCTCCACCGCCTTCTCTTCTTTTTTTTCTGTATTTTCTTTAGTAACCTCCTTTGTTTCAGATTGTGTCTCTTCAATGGCAGTAGCGTTTAAATCATTTTTACTTGCAACCTTTTGTGTTTCTTTTAATCTTGTAGATATAGCATTCTCAAATTTTCTCAGCAGACCTGCAAATTACCAGATTTTATCTTTATAATTTACCAGTGACTGCAAATTACAGCTTTTGTCTGTCATTTACTAGTGTCTCACTCAAACATTTTATATTCTTACTTTAGTTTAGATCATTTTGACAACGCACCAATTGCAAATTAATATAAATTTAAGAATATGAATAATATTTAATCTTCATAATTTCAATTACCTACACTTGACTATTTTCAGATCAATAATTCGATTTACAAGTCTCCATTGAGTGCATAAACACAAGGAATAGCTATAAATTACATTTTTCTTATTTCATTTATGCAAAAAACTAATCTACAGCCATAAGTAATTAACACCACTATAATTACTGTCGTTATTTAAACACATGCAATTAAATTTAGATCATAATAAATGAAACTTGACTTACTATCCCACTGCTCTGGTGTAGAAGGTTTCAATTTTTGGATCAGTTTTTCCATTTCTGTATTCCAATTAGTTAATGAAAGATAATGTCTTATCACTTTCCACTGATTCCCAAGGGAGGACATTGTGAAAACACTGTTTATTCGTACAGAATTCTAGCAAAAGTAAACCCACAATAAACACTAATGATAAAATTTATCCACAACACAATAACACAGAGTTGTATTCACTTTTTAACACATAAAGTTGAAAGTAAGACAGTCCTGCATTTGTTACTTTTTCTACACCATACTAAGTAACAATAGTCGCAAAGTAAATTAAATTACTTTGCAAAAATTGCGTAAAACCTTGGCACGGCGAGGAAGGAAATTACAAAAATAAATAAATCGATGACAGCGACAGCTGTAATGACGTCAGATCGGATCGGACGATCAGTGCTCCCAACCTACAGATGCAAACAATAACAAATCCAAATCACTTTCACTATTATTGTAGTTATCGTGATAAATAAATGTTTTTAATATTTCGCATGATACTTGAACGAGGTCAGAATTATTACTAAGGTAGCTTCGCGTGATAACAATAATTTATACTACATACAAAACATGTTTGCGAATTTACAGTCACGTTGAGTTTGGACTGACGAATTGCGTTGTGAGAATGAGATACGATACTTTGGCATCTGTTGCTATAAACGTACCTATGTTATGTTGGCTAAACTAACACGACGACGTAGAAATAGGTACCTACGTAGTGTTATTAGCCACACGGCCACACCTTCTGCGAGCTTCAATGAAATCGTTTTAAAATGTAAACAAACATCGTACGATGTAGTTTTGCCTTTGGCCCAATGATTTCCGCGTCAAAACGCAAGTATCTGGTTGATATTTTTAAATCATAGTTATTTACTATTGAAAACTATGCACTTGAGTCATGCATGTAAGAAATATTAATTCGTTTAAATAGTAGGTACTCTTTGGTACTATGTAGTTAGGTATCTCCGCAAGTACAGTTTGGCACAGGTAAATTACTTAGCAATCACCCATACACGTATGTTTGTATCCCTTGTGGGCACTTTTGATGTCCTGTTAGCACATCAAAAGTGCCCAAACTTATGTTAACTCTATCCAGACGTCTACTTCCAGTAAGCTTAGATCATTTAGATGTGAGGTGAGAGATGCTAAAAGCAAATGTACTAATTATATAGAGACCATTCATAAAATAAAGCCAAGCTACAATTAGGAATACATAATAGGTAGGTATTATTCAATTTATTTCCCATTCATATTGTTAAGTATTTGCATTTTAATGAATATACTAAACCCATAATAAATAATTTCAAAATTAGCAAAATTAAAACCCTCATGATAAGATAACCTAATTTCTATAAGAAAAAGGCTTTGAATATCACTTTGAATATTTAAAGAGAACAACTTCGCTAGGAATATTAGTTTTCATGTTTGGTTGGGATAATAGTACAAAATGTAGGTACATGTACCTAAAACTGAGTTTCTTATGACAAAGTAACTACATTAAATATACAAGATTAGAATAAAAATAATGCTAAATGTAATAACCCTATTATTGTACATAAGCTCCACTATAACCAGTATTGAAAAAGATCACAAGGCTCCTGAGAAAAACAACTACCTAATTGATAAGAATAAAACTGGCTCTATCATAAATGTATTTCACATCGTAAGTATAATAGTATCAGATTCGCTATGCATCAAACTTTAATAATTCTGTGCAAAGTTGGGGGATGACGAGAGGAAAAAATGAGACAAGGTATATTTTTATTTTGGTTTATTTTCATAACGAGAATAACTGCTTAAAGTACCATATCATAACCGATATTCTGGCTTAAGTTGGCAGAATCACTAGATGGGTGGGATAAATAAATAAGTCAGTTATATAGGTATTTTTACACATTTGTCACCAGTTCATGTATATTATATAACATAATACTGTGGCGTAGCTAGTTTCAGATTAAAACAAACATGATGTTTTGATTCCGACACATATAAACGTTATTGTTAATTTGACCTTGCTGATATTTCTCACACACATGAACATGCATGGCAAAACATAATATCTTCACTCACACCGTGACTTGTGAGCAGTTGCAAGTTTGAAAAAAGTTTTTTTTAAATTATTTTCTTAAAATGTAATTTTAATAAAGTGAGCTGGAATTTTCTGTTTCAAGTATCGCCGTTGCATTGATGGTTCACAGAGACTTGCAGTGTTCGGATAGAATTCGTACAGTATCGGAAGCAACCCTGGTGTTGTCCCCTTTGAGGGCGATGCGGTTGATGTGCGCGTTATGCAGCTCACTCACCTGTACGAACAATACATTATTATTAGATAAGAATAATATCCTTTATTTCATAACCGTTTACTTTAGTGATAAAGCTATTGTGCACAATCATGATTTAAGAATGAAATAAAAGATCATTCTATTTTAAACCACTTTTTTAATTCAATTGCAATAAACCATTAACTATATGTTTAATTACATAGAAACAAACAGTTACATACAAAAAGTTTATGAGGCAATAAATCTAAAGTTCCGTTAATGAAAATTTTACCAGAAAACATTATACGTCGTCCATGCATCAGACAGGATGGGGACTGAACCACGTGATCTAGTAAAATTTTCTTTAAATTTATAAATCTAACAGTGAAATGCTTAAATGAAAATATATTAAATATAAATTTTCGTAAAAGTTACATATGAGATAGAATAGTTCCAATATTTATATTTTATACCAATATTATAAATTCGAAAGTGTGCCTGTCTGTTTGTTTGATACCTCATCACGCCTTAACCGCTAAACCGAATTAAATAAAATTTGGTAAAAGGTTTGAGCCCCGGCCCGGGGAAGGACATAAAATAGTTTTTATGCCAGCAATTATCCTTGATGGGGGTAAAAAGGAAAAGCAGACAAAGTCACAGGCAGTAACTAGTAATAATATTTATATAATTTATAGACAAAAAGAGAAATGGTTACGTGGATGGTTCATTACAAAATCTTAGCTATGAGTTATGGAATAGAAACAACAATATTATGACAGAATACAAAACGGATGTTACCTGCGTAGAGCAGGCCGCCGCCGGATCACCAGACGTTTTCAGTTTGCCGATCCTGAAAAATACAGCGAATTTTGTTTTAAGGTATAAGCCAACCCTTAGCTAATAGTCTTTGTTTAAAACAACGATATTACTTATCATCTCTATATATGTAATGTGTATCGTATATATATATATATATATATAAGTCTATTTCCCATAACAGTAGTAATAAATTATTTTTAGTTTAATTTTTATTGCACTTTCTGTTTCCCGCTAAGTTGTGAATCTCCGACACCACCTAGGTTGGCTGGAAGAGATCTCTAGAGATAAGCCCACCTTTGCTTACTATGTATTTTACTATATGTTTTAACTATATGATGCAATAAAGAATATAATAATACAAAATGAAAGGGTTGTCAAATTTAGTTTTTAGGTTACAGAACAATACCAGAATCAGACCCAATCGATTGTTTTTATTTAATGGGTATTGAGTCACATTATTAAAATTAATGTAAAAAATATATATTAACAGTTGATATGGCATACTTGATCTGAATTAACTATATTTTTTACTTCGGTTAAAGTAAATTTAGCATACATAAATCACGTTATCCTAAATCCTAAATAAATCACAGAAGTAGGTATACTTTTGAATTTTATAATTAGTATACTAACCAAAACTCATTCCCGGGATGTGCATTACCATCCCAGGGATAGGTCAGAACTAGTAGCTTTCCTTCGTGTTCGCCCTTCAGTTTAGATGACGGCTCTCGATTCTGCAATTGTACGTTGATACCACCTGTTAACATAAAACGATATAGGTACATAGGTATTTATTAAATTTTCAACATTTAATAATACTTATATATGTTATATATAAATAATATTTTAAGTTATTATTTTTTTACAACTATACAAGTAACATATTTAAAAACAATTAAGTAAATATTACACTAGTATTTTTTGAGGTAAATAATTGAAAAAATAAAAATACATCTAAAGAATTTCTTTACTAGAAAAAAATAATCTTATTTAAGTAACATTTAAATGATAAACATCACGGATAAACATATTAATAAAATTACACTACAACGTAATAACAAAAACAACAAGACAAAAAATATTATCCTCAGGACTATTTTCTTTTTATTAAGTTGGCAAGACTGTTTTACTTTGGAAAATGCAAAATGACATTATGGTGTGTGTTTTGGCGCCATTAGCCATAACTTTTAAATTCTTTAAACCGGGTACCAAAAGTATACAATTTGCGATAAATAAACTATACGAAGTAGAGTTTAAATAATAATGGAAAATCGGTAAGATACTCATATGGTTCAAAATTATCTGTATATAATAAATGGTTTTGTGTACTTTCATTAATATTAGCTAGAGTAAAATGAAAAAAATGTTTTGTGTGTTACCTAGGTATGATGGTTCCAGTCGAGTAGGATATTAAAAAATATATAAACCTTTTCTTTATGCTAAAAGGGTGGCAAAAATGCATATGTAATACCCTATAGACGCTTGCGATACCAAAAGTATTAAAGCTGTAACACACGCTCGAATTTGGTTCGAACAGACCACGAATTTGATTTGCATCCGAACCAAATCTGACCGTCTGTAGAGTAGTCCTGCGAACTTAATTATTATTAATTGAGTCCGCCTCGGTCCGCTAGTTTGCACATGGGATATGGTTTGCTCCGTACTGAATCTGGACGTGTGGACGGTTGAGCCGAACAAACTATGACTAGTCGTGTTCAGAACGCCAAGAAAGACGGTCGCGTGGCGCTCATTTTACATTATGGAGAAAATTTTATAAATCAAAGGTTTAGCGGTTCATTTGCAGATTTATTTTAAAATCATCTTCATCTAAAATTCTTATCAATTTTATGTGACTAAATTCCTCACGTTCTCTTAAACACTGTTTCGCCCATTCTCTTCTTTTTTCCACTTTTTACGTGGTGGCTGAAACGTTGCTGCTAATGTTGCCGCTACCACCATAATTTTCGTGTAAACGACATGATGACCGCCGTGTGCACTTGAAGACGTACGTGAAGCAACTGTCCGATTCGGTCGTCTGTAGCGAGAACGGATTTAGTAAGCGGATTTGGTCTACCGGACCAAATTCGAGCGTGTGTTAAAGCTATTACTTGTACCGTTGGATTCAGTCACCGACAGAAACACAATATCACCAAAAGGTAGTGTCATTTTTATATTTTTTAAGCGTTCAATTGTGTGGCGGCTTGGATTCTAAGAATGCTGACTTATTACCTACATACTAGTACATACCTCTTGGATGGTTTTCATTTTTGAAGAATAGTTTGTCGCCGTTGCCGTCGTGAGATTTGAACAGAGCTGTCGACAAATACGATAATTAACAATGGAAAACAGTTTATAATATTTTAATCGCATGTATTTTGTCGCAAAGTTTTGAGTAAGATAAGTAGGTACCTATGTATTGCATTTAAGTAAATTTTAGTTACCTATGTAATAAAAACCGGCTAGTGCGAATCGGACTCATGCATGAAGGGTTCTGTACCATTATCTATGCAACATTACATCTAGACACTATAAACAATCGTATCTGCCATAAATATGATGGGGTTGGTATACTCCTAGATCATATAATTAAAGTGTCGTACGTATTGAAAAATAAAAATAAAGCTAATTAATAATAATATTAATAAATATTTCCAACTCACACCAATTAGCCTAGCCCCAAAGTAAGCACTATAAGGCTTGTGTTATGGGATACTAGGGTAACGGATAGAATACATATAATGATGCCAATTCTGACGTGATTCTCTAAACTTAAAACTAAATTTAACATCAGTCTCTCCTTTTCATTCTGTATAGAGAATGACAAAGATACACTGTTGTCAAATTTAAGTTTAGCTTTAGAGAATTATACCAGAATCGACACCACTGTATATACAGGATGTTACAGAATTCCGAAATAAAATTTGTAGGTATGTATTCCGAAATAAAAAATTGTAGGTATCTGAGCGGGGCGCAGGGGCGCCTGGGGGAGAGAGGGGGGTCTGTTTAGGTAGTAGTAATCGTACGCATTTATAGGGTTGTCATAGGCAGGTGTAAAACGATATTTTTATTAATTTAATTAGAAAATAAAAGTGGTCCGAAAGGCGTCAAACTTTCGTAGGTAATTCTATACAAGGAACACAACCAAACCCTAAAGTTTTATTTCGGACTTTTGTCACACCCTGTATATATACTAAATAACTGCGGGTTACTTTGACCTAAAATGTGTACTTTTTTTTCAAATAAAATTGTAGCTTCTCTTTGTGATGAATATGTCACGTTTATATCTTTCCATTGTGAAGTTTTAAGTATAAGTTACAAAGTTATCATACGAAAATAAGAAAAAATATTATTTAAGGGTTAATATATATTTTTTTAATTTTGGGCCAAAGTTGGCCTTAAAGAGGGTTACATTAGCTCGTTGAGTTTTCTCTGTGAAAAAAACTCATTTTACCCTTATAACAGATCACCATTAGCATACTGAATACACAAATGGATGTTTTTGCCCAAAAATAATTAGGTTAAATAAAAAATATAACTTTAAATTTAGAAAAAATAGTATACTTACAGAAAACCATAGTTTTGAGAAAGTTTGCGTATTTAACTTGCGAACTATTTCAGTTAAAAAAAAATGGATGCGTGTAACTTATGTACGCGCGTGAGAAGTTATACTTCTTTAGCATCATTAAAAATATTTTTTAATTGCATGCAAATAATTAATAATTACAATAAAATAATAAAAGGACTGGAAAAGGATAGTTAACACAGTCAATTAAGTTCAGTTTTAATTTGAAAAATTAAATAAATATTCAAAATATTCAATTCAAATCACTACTGAATTTAAGTTATTAGTCCATATGTAATTAGCACTTGTAAGTAACTAAAACACGTTGTGTCTATATAGAAACTAGAAACATGTGAATAAATATTATAAATATGAAAACAGCGATCAGAGGCGACGAGCGTGCCAACATTGTTTTTGACAACGCGATCATCTTATGGAGCTCCGTGGATCGTTCAAAGTACCTTTCGAACAGATGTCTAATAATGGTGGATTACTAACCACTTAGAGGTTAATAATCCACCATTATTAGACACTAACATTCATAACGCGCCCGCGGCCAACTTCATGCTGTTACTTTTGGGTTACAGTGATGCGCGCGCATCTAAAAATTTCACTCTCATAATTTTTTCATAACGCGCCTAAAGAAGTATAACTTCAAAAATGCCGTGTTACAATGACAATTTGATACAGGAACGATGTCGGTAAAACAACAACACATTACGCGCCTATTGGCTATCTGTGATTTTCAACTGGAACTATTATGGTCACCCAAAAGATACTGATGTGGCGGCAAGTTCAATATTTTTTCTGATTTGGGACAAAGTTACCCGCCCGAGCTAAAGTAACCCTCACTTACAGATATAAGTATATTTATATAGAAATACATATTAAACGTCCATGACTGGAGTACAAATGCAAGTATTCATCACACAGATATCTGCCCCCACCGGTATTCGAATCCGGGACCTCTCGGCGACACCATGAAACCCGGCGTACAAACCGTTCGGCCACTGAGGTTGTCAAAATATTAAACACTAATCATATATTTCCCAATACAATACGAAACACTTTATTGTACATCACAGATAACATTAAATTTAGTACATAACCAATTAAAACTAGTGTAACAATGGGTGGCCTTATCGCTCAGAGCGATCTCTTCCAGACAACCAATAGTAAGTTTTTAATTTTAAAACATTAAATATTGCCTTATCATCATCAGCCTATTAATGTCCCCAGTGCTGAGGCACAGGCCTTCCCTATGAATGGAATAGGGAGATCGGGCCATGACCCACCACGCGGGCCCAGTGCGGATCGGTGGATGTTTACGACCGCAGATGCAGCCGGGACCGACGGCTTAACGCGCCTTCCGAAGCACGGAGGAGGGAGAGATAGTAAATTTTTGGTCACCCATCCAATGTCCGACCACTGCGAAAGTTGCTCAACTTCAACGATCGCAGCCGAACGCGCTGACCACTTGCGCCATCGAGCTCCTCGTTGCCTCATATGCGTCTGAAATTACCATGTAAATGTGTAATTTTTGGTCCGGCCCGGGAGCGCTCCAGTGAAGTGGCACACAGGTGATCCTGAAACGGTCCCACAGGGGCGTAGGAGGGCACCGGTGGGTACCGGTGGCGCCCGGGAGTCCCACACGCGGGCTAGTGTGCGGTACGGTGCGCAAAATGCATTTCCCATCAGCAAAAAAAAGGGGTCCCTTGTCAGGACACCCCCCCCCCCCCCTCCCGTGGCCGCCGGGACCCCACGCCCCTTTCACCAATTGGCACCCCCCCCCCTCTCACCCGCGATTATGCGTGACATGATGGGGCAGCCTCGCGAACTGGTTAGTAACGCTCGGGCCCCTGTACTGTGCACTATACAGGCGGCCAGCGGGACAGCCGTTTCACGGGTCTCCCTGGCCGGCGGGTCGATGCAGTCCTCCCGGCATCGGTTCCACGGATGCCTCGCCCTGGACCGAATCCTTCGCGACGACTTCCACTGGAGCCCTGGTTGTCCGCTGGCTGACCCCGAAACGCGCGTAAAGCACTTCACGGGTTTTTCACCATGCGCACGGTGGTAACAAACCAGGCGGGTGTTAGGCACTGTAACGTCCGTTACGTTACGGTCTCCTTGTTTAGGTAAACTCTTTGTTCGTGCGATGCCTACGGCTGGCGATTATATTAAAAAGTCTTTTGTTTTGAATGAACGAAAATAAAATAAAACAAAACAATAAACGGACGATCTACGCTGAAAATAATTTTAAATCACATTAAAAGGACTTAAAGCTAAGCTAAAGTGTTTGCAATTAAGAAAGGTAATGCAGATGATGTGTGCGTGTGTGTTTGTGTCTTCGTGTGTGTATGTATGTGTGTGATTAATTTTATACATTGTTTCGTGTCATTTATAAAATACGATACAGTAGAGATTCAGTTTCTTCATACGTTCGAGGCTGAATCCATTTAATTAAAAGGCTCTTACACTCGTGATGATTTTTGTCATATATGTTTATTTCTTTATTTATTTTATTATATAACATGACCGAACGCGAGTTAAATTGCCTACTAGCAAATGCAGTTTTAGTGACAGTCGACTTGACGATTATGTCTTTTCACCTTTTTTCCAAGAGATGAGGGTCATAGGGTATAGATTTGTGAATTTTGAGAATGGTCGTGATTATATATAATTTCTTCACAGAGAGTAGGTCACTAATTCGGTACAAATCATTAGTAGGGAAACGTCGCTTCTTGAAGTACATGACCTATATAAGGGTTCTTTGTGCTCTTTCTAAATCAAGAAACTGGCTCTTCGCTAAATTAATGTTATGATTTTCATATTTGAAATAAGGAATCGTCCGTCTTTCGATAGAAGGTTCCGCGCGGCAGATGAACTTCGGGCACCAAACCTTTCGTAGTTAGATAAAAATACTCGTATTCGCCTGAAATCTAATAAAATCAATATAAAATCAAGTTTGTTTTGATTAGTCGCTACGTCCCCAGGTTCTATCCACTCAGGCTAGAACTCCGCAGTACCCACCCCCCCCCCAGAAGGTGGTGTTACTATACCTGCGACCAATGTCCCGGGCTTAATGTAGGCCATGTTGACGTCGCTCACGTGCTGTAAGCGACCCGCGACCAGCAGCGCCCTCACGCGGCGCAGTACCGACAACACGAATATGTCCGTCTGGTGGGGGGAGTACTTCCATACGCCCAGACCTGACCAAATAAACGAATCACTCATTAATAATGTTCGCACCCGCTTTAACCTTGTCATCATCAGCCTCTTAATTTCCCCACTGCTAGGGCGCAGACCTTGCCTATGGATGGAATAGGGAGATTGGGCCATGACCCCCACGCGGGCCCGGTGCGGATTGGTGGGTGCTAACGACTGCAGATGCAGCCGAGACCGACGGCGACGGCTTAACATGCCTTCCGAAGCATAGTCCCATGTTACTAAATTAACCCTGTATATGATACAGAAGAACGTACAAAATTATACCAAAAGTGTTGCACAAGCGAACTTTATTACCGCGCGACTATTGAATTGAATATACAGCGTAACCCCACCGACGATATTAAATACCCTAGATACACCAACACGAACAAAATCGTGCCCGAAACCTATCCAAAAGGTACATTGAACGATCGATTAAAATCAATATAAGGCATTATTTAAATATTGAAAGTAATCTTTAATCCATACCTTATAAGGTCTTAAATAAAACGCAAGCGTCAAGGATTTCTGACAGTTCGAAATGCAAGCTCGTAAAATTTTACTACTTATTGCTATATGTGGAAGAATTTCGACCTTAGTTCTTTGACTCTACGCGCAATTCTGAACGCGCTGTTAGCAATATAGCAGACACGGACCGCGAGGAAAAGAGACTGCTATATGGCGACGTATAACCGACCATGCAATTGAATAACACAAATATTTTAGATTAACCGCTTACCATCAGGCGGGCCGCATGCTTGTTTGCTACCTTAGTGGTATAAAAAAAAAAATATCTTTCTGATAATATAAGCATTGCCGGGCTTTGTTAAGTCTAAGTCGTAAAAAATACGATAAGATCGAGTCGAGTGTCAAATGGCGCGCTCAGATCTTAAGTGCGCCGGCCTCTACGGTATCGTACGCGCGAGGCCGCGCGGGCCCTCATAGGTTAAATCAGTTTATCGTAAGTAAGTAACATCAAATTTTACTTCAAATGCGTTAAATTAACAAACATTGACAAGATACCTGTCGAAAAAACGACACTTTTCATATTTTAAATATTATTTCCGCATTTTTTCGCGAAGCTCTGTGGCATCTTGACTTTGTAACGGTCCGCACGTGACTGTGAACCAAGAAGTGCTTGAGTGGAGTTCAAGCACTTCTTGATTGGGACACATTTTGAGCGCTCGTGGTGTATCTAGGGTATTTAATATCGTTGACCCTCACAGCAAACTTCAGTCGCTGTCTTCTAAACCCACCGCATGTTTAGAAAATTCGCTGTAGATGTCGCCTATCTATAACTACTTCATCATCAATACTGTAATGTCTTAACAAATATATCTTGCACTTACAAATTTCACTCAACAATAATATAAAAGAAAATACTAACATTCACCAAGTTTTATTGAAAAAACTCCCAACTCTATGCCCAAACTTTTTTTTATAGATGTGAAAGAAGATTGTGAGATTTGGTTAAGTTTATATGGAAAAGGAGACATATCGTTACCTTAAAGCTCAAAAGTCAAACAAAGAAAATTATTTTTTTACAATATTTTTAATGTATCTTTTTAATTTATGCAACTATAACTCAGTACTTTATTAGCGACATGCTAAAGATTAACGTAAGAAAATGTAACGATGTAATAAAAAGCTTCACTTAAAATGAAAACACCAGAACCCTATCTCACCAATGCGACATGTGTTACTGACATAATATGAAGTGGAGTGTGTGAAAAGTGTCAATATTGAAAATATTTTTTGGAAAAATGTATGAAACTCACAGGCATTTTGTTAAAATTGTCTGTATCTTACTTTAGCGACAATTATGCTGTGAAACAAGGCTAATTTTTCTTCAATCGACCTATTTGATGATAATTCTTGACATAAGATCGGGGCTGTGTCAAATTTGCATTACAATTGTTTTCGTTGTCGGTTACAAAATAGCTCTCCGCGAAAATTGAAAACATTAGAAGTGATACAGGAAAATGTATAAAGAACGAATAATTACCCTATGGAATCACTGATTTTCCGTTTATAGAATAAGTAATCAAAACCAGCATCGAATAATGAAATCGGTGCAGTAAATAGATCACCCCACTACTAACCGTCGACTCTGATATGTCAGTAACGTATGTCGACTTCTAAGTTCATTCATTTTCATTCATTCATTCATTCATGTAAAGAAAAGTTAACCAGAAAAATATCTACTCGGACCAGGCAGCTTCGCTATCCGGGCGAATGACACGATGGCCGCGTGGAATTCTCTCTAGTGTTACTTATTTCTTCTTTCAAATGTTTCATATTTGTAAAGGTATTCATTTCACATTTTGGGTTATCTACAATGCGAAGAGATGGCGCTGCCTCGCAGCTTAAGAAAGGCTAGAGAGAATTTGACACGGCCATCAGGTCCGCGGTAGCATAATGTTCTGTGGATTTGAAAGGTCTGCTGCCTGGTCCGCGTAGATTCTTTTCTAGTAAACTTTTATTTAAATTTAAACATCAGATAAATGCTTCACACTAATATTATAAAGGCGAAAGTTTGTGAGTGTGTGAGTATGTGAGTGTGTATGTTTGTTACTTCTTCACGTCTAAACGACTAGAGCGACTTTAATAAAATTTGGTATGGAGTTAGCTGACACCCTAGATTCACACATAGGCTACTTTAATCCCGAAAAATGTAAGGTTCCAGAGGGATTTTCAAGAAACTAAGTTAACGCAGACGGAGTCGCGGGTGACCTCTAGTACGACATAAGTATGGAACCGCGACCGTGTCATAATCATAATATAGAGTGATAATTTCTATTGAACGGTTTTTTCATTTACTCCGAATCCGAAGCGAAGCGAAGGCGGGCCACTAGTAAAAAATAAAATGTAAATATGTCGACTTGTGAAATAGGGCCCTGTTATGCCACATACGAGTACATCACTCACCAGCACCAATAATATTGACGAAGGCATGTTTCCCCTCATGTTTGGCCCTGCTATCAGCCTCCACTAACACCGTGTCGAAGATGACCCTCAATCTCCTATAGTAAGTGACGTTATGGAAGGCGGCAGTCTTCACCCGACTCCAGATAGAGGAGAACACTCTGTTGCCGGAACAGGGTAGTGGGGTGATGTCCTTGTATAACTGCGAATGGGTTATGCTCGGGACCTGTTAAAGATAATTCATACATTTATGATATTGACAACCATCTAGAATAGAATAGAATAGAATAGAAATAAATTTATTAGCCTTAAACACAGATATACATAAATAAAACAAGACAAAATAGGCCAACTAGGTCCCTGCCTCAGCTTGATACTACAGCAACACCAGGGCTGCTGCAGCGCTGATAATTCTGGCAGGGCCTATGGTTGATGACACAGATAAACAAATAAAAGAACAATAATACACTAAAAGAAACAAGCATACCAATAAATACACATCAAAGAGAAAAAAAATGGAATGGCTGTATAATTTTATAATCTTTGCCTTTTTATTTATTTATTTATTTATTTTATTCTTCATGCACATACTGTACAATGGCGGACTTAATGCCGTAGGCATTCTCTACCAGTCAACCATAGGGTGTTGTGGAGATTTTAGTGGCAGGGTGCACAACTGAGGTGGAGATCACATTTAAAGAAATATCACTCATAATAAATATATAACAATAACATACATAAATAAGTAAATATATACAAATTATATAACTAAACATATACATACACATACATATATACTTCATATAATACATACATGACGACAAACTACTTAACGAAACGCTTGTTCCAATAAAAAGGTTCGCAGCTTGGTTTTAAAGGAATGTTTGTTGGGGGACATTCTAATGTCTAGCGGGAGTTCGTTCCACAAAAGTATAGTTTTCACGAAGAAGGAAGAGTGAATGATATCGGAATTGTGAGATGGAACGACTAGTAAACGATTGAAAGAAGATCTAAGATTTTTAGTATGAGAGGTACATAAGTACTGAAACTGAGAAGTGAGATAAGGGGGGGCATTTGGAGAATCCAGCAAAGTGAACAAAGTGGTCAGAGCCCGCATACATCTGCGTTGCCTAATGGGCATCCATTTTAAGAGAGATCGGTATGCGGACACATGGTCATATTTTCTAAGATTAAAAACGAATCGAATGCAGTTATTCTGAAGTCGATCAAGCTTGTTGAGTAGATCTGCATTCAGGTCGAGGTAGCACACATCACCATAGTCGATTATGGGGAATATTAAGGTTTGCACAAGCATTGCCTTGATATTGACCGGCAAAAAATTTTTCAGGCGATAAAGGGCACGCAGTATTCCTGTTACTTTTTTGCAGACGCTACTAACTTGGTCCTGCCATTTAAAACTGGAGTCGACATACAACCCTAGATCTTTTACGACATTGCTGAAGGGGATTGGTGTGCCGTCATAAACGATGGAACCAACACTGCCGTTGTAAATTTTGCTCATGGCCCTTGACCCACCTAATAAAATGGCTTGACATTTTGTAGCATTGACAATTACACCAAAATTGTCCGACCATGTTTTAATAGCTACTAAATCCCTGTTTAGAGCATCAATGGCTTCATTTAGATTGTCAATACTTGTCTCGGTATATAATTGCAAATCGTCAGCATATAGATGATACGAACACTGAAGTTTGTGAGTGATAAAATCAATAAAAATTGAAAAAAGAAGAGGAGAAAGAATACCGCCTTGGGGAACACCAGTTTCCAGACTGCGCCAGGATGAGGAAGAATCCCCAGACTGGACCATCTGCTGGCGGTCCCGAAGATAAGATGAAAACCAAGTCAACACTTCGTCAGAGACCATAAGATGAGACAGTATAGAAAGGAGAATATTGTGATTGACGGTATTAAAAGCATTGGAGAAATCGATAAGTACTAAACAAGTAACTTTACCGTTCTCCATACCCGCTCTCACATCGCCTGTCACTTTTAAAAGTGCTGAAACAGTGCTATGCCCTGGTCTAAATCCTGATTGGAGAGGGTTCATTAAGGAATTTCTGTGGACAAATTGAGAAAATTGGTTGTGAACGCATGCCTCCAGCACTTTAGACATGAAGGGGAGGATGGAAATCGGCCTAAATTCATTAGGCTGCGTTGGGTTGGAAACTTTGGGAAGAGGCCGTACATAGGCTTTACGATATAGAACAGGAAAGGTAACGGTGTCGAGAGAGGAATTCATAATATGCGTTATGACAGGAAGTAGAGGGTCTAGAATAGTGATGATCATGCGACGACTAATATCATCACACCCCATTGCATTCGACTTAATGGAAAGAATAATCTTCTTAATCTCTGCCGGTGTGACTGGTGAAAAATAGAAAGGGTCAATGTTAGGACGCGTTAAACCATTTATGAAAGCAATAGTGCTTGCTGTAAAACAACGATCCAACTTTAGAGTAGTTGTGAAATGACAATTGAGATCGTTAGGGTTTATTGAATTAGGTAGGTTTAAATGTCGCGATTTGCCGATACCTAGCGTTCCGAGGAACTTCCAGATATCAGCCGAAGATGAGGACGAAAGATTGTTAAGAATATATCGGCGTTTGGCGTTACGTATCATCTGATTACACCGATTTCTAGCTGCTTTGAACAGTTTCCACTTTTCGTCAGAGCGGTCCTTTCTGTAACTGCGATACGTACGATTTCTACGTCTCATCGCCATCTGAACACCTGCTGTCATCCAAGGGGCCGGTTGGCGCTTAAGTCTTACTTTTCTGATAGGAGCATGGACTTCGTAAATTTTCAGCAGGGTGTCGTTAAATATTTTTATCTTTTCGTCAACATCGGAAACTTGGAACATTGGGTCCCAGTTGATATCAGAGACATCCTTTTGTAGTTTGGCTAAATCCATACGCGCGAATGATCGCCTGTGCAAAACCTTGGGAGAGGATTTGGGGGGCTTAAAGCGATAGGAAAGGAAGATGAGGTCATGATGCGAGAAGCCAGGAGCGATATGTTGACCATGAGCTGTGACGAGGGAGGGATTGGAGGTGAGGATTAGATCCAGCCATGTATCATCACCACAAGTATTTTGGTGAGTTGCTTGAAGGGGTAGAACATGTAGGCTTGCGGACTGGATAATATGAAGGAGTTTGCGGGAACGAGAGGATTCGGGTGCAAGGAGATTGGTATTGAAATCACCCATGATGATAACATGTGCATACTCAGACCCCAAAGATTCTAAAACCTCTTCAAGTTCGGTGAAATAATCAATTGTGGGGGGACAATAAACTACACCAATAACTGCTTTTGCACGACCTGTACCAATCTCCAGAAAAATAAATTCAGAATTGGAGTCAGATTTGGAGGTAGCTAACAGTTTGTACAAAAATGTACTACGTAAAAAGATAGCGACACCACCTCCGCCACGACCACAACGATCATTCCGAATTAAAGTAAAACCAGGGATAGAATAAGTGGTAGAGAGAAGATGTGGTTTTAACCAAGATTCAGAGATAAGGATAGCGTGTGCATTTCGCCCAGAGAAAACATCAAGTAATTCGTCATAATGCCTAGGTACACTTTGGGCGTTGATGTGACATATATTTAATAACCATGGAGATGGCGCAAGTGTTCGATGCAAAAAATCACTAAGTGTGTCAGTAGCGGAACGGAAACTTTCGTCGTTAGCAGAGTCTGCAGATTCGTCATCAGCAGAAAAAAACTCGTCGTCTACAATCATAAACTACGTAAATATAAATAAATAGATAGATATAGGATATACGTATATAAATACACAGTATTAAAACACAAAATGTGAATAAATTAATGCTAAATAATGAAAAAGCACCAAAATATCCACACCACCCGCCAGCTCACATTATTCGGTTACTAGAAAACATAAAGAAAAAAGAAGCACATATTAATTACAGATAAGCAAACAAACACAATTAACACTTGCAAAGCCAATTAACAATAAATTAATAATAGCGAGGAAAAAAAAAAAATTTTAATTTTACTAGACAAACCAACATGGCTGTATGAACACAAGAACTTTTGCCTTCGTAAAAGAGTACAAAACGAAAAGTCTGTCTGACATTGACAGGTGTACAAGTGACAGAACATCGGCACAAAGAAATACTAACAAAAGAAAACAATATTTTCTACCGATTACCTACCATAATTAAAGTTTAAATATATATTTTTAAATAAAAAAATAATAAAAGCAAGCAAAGTGTTTTGTTTTCCGACAACAGTATGCAGTTTATAAAGGCACAAAATAATGATTCTCATAGCCATTGCTACACTACAAGGTAACTACATACAGCACATTTATCTTTATAGCAAAGAAAAGTAACAAATTAATTGAACAGATATAAGAAGCAATAGGCTTTCTCTAATGATAGCAATATAAAAGCCAATTTTAAACAAAGGTATTTAGTTACTTGTTCTCATTTACAGTTCCTGGTCGCACAGCAGCCGATGACTTCTTTGGATATTTTTCAACCAAAGTGTCCAACTCTTCTTTAAGTACCACCTTATGACGCCTACTATCCGAAGATTTGACATGAATGACGCCATCCTGAGTCCAACAAGACCGGACACCAAAATGCAGCCGAGCATTGTTGAATATTGTTTGCCGGGACTTAGTGAGAAACTCTTTCACCGTGATGTTGGTCCCCTTCAAATTCTTCTTCGCCTTCCAGACTGTAGATTTGAAGTCATATTGAGAGAACTTTACAAGTATAGGCCGATGCTTATTGCTTTCACTGCTCTTGGAAGCTCCAAGCCTATGACAAACAGACATTGATGCTTTTGTGACATCTTTGAGGCCTAGTTTTGTTTCCAGGATGCCACACATAACCTCTATACAGTCCACATCATCTGACTCAGCAACACCCATGAAAACCAGTGCCTTGCGACGGTGCCTGGATTCAACCGCATCAATCCGTGTGGCACATTCGCTTATCTGCTTGCGGAGTAGCCCCAACATGCTAAATACAAGCTCTCTAAATGTCCGGAACTCCTCAGCAACCTTTGCTACCGTTTCCTTGCCAGAAGCTGTAACCTGGATCTGAGCCTCCAAATCCTGCATTTTCTTTATGAAGCACTCTTCCAGGCTCTTTTGTGCAGACACAATATCAGAGAGTTGCGGCATAGTGAGATACACAGTGTTAGTTATTATTTAAAATGTGCTCAAAGTTAAGTGAATGAAGTGCTGGCAGGTGGTGTCAAAGTTCAAGCTTATTTTACATATAAGTTGTTGCAAACGTAAGTAGTGCTGATTTACTTCCTTGATCTTCAAATAAGCGTTAAAACAATGTATTAATTTTACTAGAAATAATTAAATTAAATTTTGCAATTGAGGAACACTTCTTTACTTTTTCACACCTACCGCCCAAAAAAAAAAAAAATTTTCTTTTTCTCTTTTAGAAAGAGGAAAAGACTTTTTTTAAGAGAGATTTTTTTATGTCACAAGTTTGAAATTACGTTATAGAATTGGCTTTTTTAGTGTTTGTTGTTAAAATACAGCGTATGAGATATTATATACAAAAATTGCATATTCTTAATTAGTTTCTATTTTCTGATAGACCTCGTAACAAAAATGGTCGAAAATGTTAACGGCCATACATTTGTTATTGAAAATAAAACATAATAACAATTAAATTTATGCCCTACTCAACGAGCTCTAGAAAGCGACGTGTCACTGCTGCTCGGATTAAAAAGAAAAAACTAAATTTTACCTCCTTTTTATGTACGGGATCCCTTTCAAAAATAATTTAATTAAAATATTCCGCTTTCCGGCAAGCATTCCTACATAAAATACCAACATTTCAGTTTCGCAACTCATTTCTGTTAGGATCTAGACACTCGTGACATACGCACAGACGGAGAAACGACAGAGCGACTGCAATAGGGTTCCATTTTTACCCTTTGGCCTTAAAAGCAGCTTATTATTTTTATTATAATAGTTAAGAAATTTTAAACCCGAGAGAAAGACGTGGCGTCAGACGGGGGCGGCGCATTTGCCACGGGGGGAGGGGGATAGCCGCGTCATCAACCGCCAATCAGAAGGCGGACTTTATAAGGGACGTGCTGTGATTGGTCGACGGTCCCGGACGACCGGGGCCAAATTATTATATAACACGAAACATTTATAATTGCTGCATCATCCCCCTCTCAGGGGATGATCGCTTCAGATGAAGCTTGTAAGGCCCTTTCGGTCATAAGCATGAACTACGGGTATATTTTAGTCAGCCGGCTGCAAGGTATCCATGAGGATTCCTCAACCGCTCCCTCGCCTGAGAGGAAACGAAAAAATAAAATACCTAATACAAATTGAGGAGCTGGCGGTATAATTAAACAAACGAAACGGTATAATTACGCATCACATGTCGGTCAAACTACATTTTTTTACAGTCCGGAGATATCGCGCCCGTTGAATTTGAATCTCAAATAATTTTCAAACAAAACCGCCTAAAACAGTGTTAAGATTGCTAAATTTATAAATTAAAAATCATGCCAAAACCTCACTGTACGTATGTCACTCAGTTTTATACAGCTCCTCTAAAATTAAATTTTATTTCATTATACCGTTTTGTTGGCCAGCTCCTCAATTGTAGTCTGCCAGGAACAATCATCGTGTGAACAACTAGCCAGAACAATAAAGAAAGTAGTAAAACAGCAACCCGCGTTTTGAATCCAGAAACCTACATACAGTCCACACCAGGGATTCGAGGACTGGAGACTCATCACCTTTATCACCGACATCTTGGTCCTTCGAGCCGGATCCATTTTCGAAAACCAACAAGTTTAGTATAACGCAATCATCATCATCAGCTTCTTAATGTCCCCACTGCTGGGGCACAGGCCTTCCCTATGGATGGAACAGGGAGATCGGGCCATGACCCACCACGCGGGCCCAGTGCGGATTGGCGGGTGCTAACGACCGCAAATGCAGCCGGGACCAACGGCTTAACGTGCCTTTCGAAGCACGGAGGAATTCGAGATAGAATTTTTTGGTCACCCATCCAATGACCGACCACTGCGAAAGTTGCTCAACTACAACGATCGCAGCCGAACGCGCTGACCACCTGCGCCATCGAGCTCCTCGCATAACGCAATAGTTACCTGATAAAATTCCTCCCACATGTTCCTCCACGCTATTTTAGCTTGGTTCCCAGATGATCCGCCCTCCGCCCTTGGTCCGTACCCGTCGCGCTCCGTATTCTGTTGTTCGGTGACGACCATGTCTTCGTAGTCCATGCGGTTGATTCGCTTGTACCGCGGGCCTATCACGCCTGACATACAAAACGGGTAACATATATGGGGGATAAAGCCGAGCGCGTCCGTGGGCTTTAGCTCTAGATACCCACACGTGTCCCCTGGGTAGCGCCAAATGCTCGGCACATCACCGGTGGTAGGTTTCGACCGTGGCTGGTAACCACCCTCTAGGCAAAGCCGAGCCGCCAAACGACTTTCATCGTGTTTCGGCTCGATGCCTGGTGTTGCCGTTTTTAGGGGGGGAGTCCGAGCAGTTGCGATGTACAGCTTGCCGGCTTCGGTGTTGCGTGATTGCTGCGCTGGGTGGCTGATCGCGGAGGGTAGCGGGATCCTAAGCACGGTTCTCCGCTGGCCGACCGCAGGTAGTAGGGGGCCCAAGTAGTAGGAAAGCCACCTACGAAAGGCTGCCCCGCCAACTCGCGAAAAATCCCAAGGTGCGCCATCGTGCCGGTTGGCGACCGGATGCGAGGGCCCGATGGACACTTTTGGGGGGGTTAGGGCGTCCCCGCGCGCTCCAGCTCAGTCACCCGTCAGTGTGGCGTCATAACTGCATCGCTTGGCAGTAGCTTAGCAGAGTCTCGCTCATCTGTCCCCTTCCTGCCTGTTCACTCTCTACTTATGAAAAAAAAATATGAACGTCAAAAGAAAGAAACTGGTGAAACAGCGGATGCACTCCCTCGCACTAAAAGTGCACCTTGCTAACGTCCGAGGATTGCACTCAAATATCGATAGTGTCCATCACCACCTTGAGACCGATAAACCACATCTGCTGTTCCTCACGGAGACTCAAATAAGATGCCCGACTGACGCAGCTTACTTGCATTACCCAGGTTACATGCTGGAGCACAATTTTAAATCGCGCGCTGGCACCTGCGTGTATGCTCGTGATGACATCTGCTGCCAACGTCTCCGCAACCTTGAGGATCCCAGTTTCTCTACATTATGGGTGCTGGTGAACACAGGTATAGAGCAAATACTCTATGCCAGTGTTTATCGGTCGCACACAGAGAACATGGAGACAACCAGGTTTTTTCAGTACCTCAGCGCCTCCGCTGAAACAGCCCAGCAAAGGTACCCGAGTGCGCAGCTAGTCGTTCTGGGGGACTTTAACGCACACCACCATGAGTGGTTGTTCCCGTTCCAGAAAACCGACCATGCCGGGAGATTAGCGCACACATTTGCTATGTCGCTAGGTCTCTCCCAGCTTGTGAAGGGCGCTACACGTGTACCCGATATTGATAGCCACACACCAAACTGCCTGGACCTTCTGCTGTCAACAGACCCGGACCGTTACCAGGTGGTAATTTCGTCTCCTCTAGGGAGTTCCGACCACTGTCTGGTGAAGTCCGTATCAGTCTACTCTCCAAGCGACCCGGAACCTATCGGAACTAGGCGTGTTTGGCGATATGGTTCAGCAGACTGGGATGAGATGCGGCATTTCTTTGCATCTTATCCTTGGCGTCGCACCTGCTTTTCTTCGGACGACCCGACTTGCTGCGCGGATGCCATTGCTGACGTGGTGCGTCAGGCTATGGAGTACTTTATTCCATATTCTGACGTACCACGCCGGTTTAGCGCCCGCCCTTGGTTTGACGCGGACTGTGCTAAAGCAGAGGCGCTTAAGCATTTTGCGTATCGCTCCTGGGCGGATGCTCGAGCCCGCAAATCACCAAATGTTCGAAGTCTGAAGAAGGCCTTTAACAGTGCCGCCAAGTCCTGTAAAAGTGTTCTCCGCAAGGCCCGCTTCGATCACATTGGCCGTATAGGAGCCAAATTAGCCTCCTTTCCATCCGGAAGCAAGGCTTTCTGGTCCCTAGCCAAAACAGTCGAAGCCAATTTTTGCCGGTCGTCGCTGCCGCCTTTAATTAAACCTGACGGATCGCTGGCTCACACCTCCAAAGAGAAGGCTGACTTGTTTGCCTCTATATTTGCGAATAACTCACAGCTAGATGCTGCTGGCATAAACCCACCTAAGCTTCCTCGGTGTTCTTCTGCCATGTTGGAAGTTCGCATCCATCAGAAAGAGGTACTAAAAACGCTAAGCACTCTAGACGTGAATAAAGCCAGTGGGCCCGATGGCATTCCAGCTATTGTCCTGCGGAATTGTGCCCCTGAGTTGTCTCCTATTCTGACTCGCCTATATCGCTTATCCCTTGAGATTGGCCAAGTTCCGAAAACCTGGAAGCTTGCCAATGTCCAGCCAGTGCCCAAAAAGGGTAGTCGTGCCGACCCTGCCAACTATCGACCTATTGCAATCACCTCCATACTCTGTAAGATTATGGAGCGTGTATTGAACAACCGTCTCCTCGCTTACCTCGAAGATAACGATCTCCTCAGTGACTGCCAATTCGGTTTCCGCCGTGGGCGATCTACTGGGGATCTTCTTGTGTATGCTACCCACTTATGGAGTGAAGCCATAGAGAAACGCGGCGAAGCTCTCGCCGTTTCTCTTGATATTTCTAAGGCTTTTGACAGGGTCTGGCATGCAAGTCTCATTGGCAAGCTTCCTTCATATGGAATCGCTGTCGGACTTTGCAACTGGATTGCAGATTTTCTGAGGGGCAGATCGATACGAGTGGTCATTAATGGCACATCGTCGGATCTGCTTGGTATTAATGCCGGTGTCCCCCAGGGATCTGTCCTCTCCGCAACTCTATTCTTGCTGCACATCAATGATCTGCTCCTAACTCCTGGTATCTTTGGGTATGCAGATGACAGCACAGTTTCGGGGAGATATCTGCCTGATGTGAAGTCTGATGCAGATGTCCGATCATTAAGGGAGGCGATGGTGGAGGGAGTGAATGCAACCCTGGAAGCTGTTTCCCTCTGGGGTGAAGCCAACTTGGTTGGATTCAATCCCTCTAAAACACAGGCCTGTCTCTTCTCGACGAAACGGAGTCCATTCCATCTAACTCCGACTTTCCGAAATGTCTCCGTGCCGGTTAAAGACCATCTCGAGCTCTTGGGTATGGACATCTCATCCAGCCTCAATTTCGGTCCCTACATCGAGTCCATTGCTAAAACCGCTGCCAGAAAACTTGGAATACTTTCTAAGGTCAGGCGATATTTTACATCTGAGCAGCTCCTTAACCTTTACCGAGCCCAAGTTCGCTCCTGCTTGGAGTACTGTTGTCACCTTTGGGACGGATCTGCTCGGTATCAGCTGGATGCACTGGACTCGGTGGAACACCGTGCGAAGAGACTCATAGGCAATGACGCTCTCATTGAGGCTAATCTTCAGAGCCTCCACCACCGAAGACGTGTAGCTTGCCTTTCGGTGTTTTATCGGTTACATTTCGGAGAGTGTGCGGAGGTATTACATAATTTGATCCCCCCTTCCCCTTTCCACCACCGGACGACCAGGCGCGGCGAGGGCTTCCACCCTTATGTTGTCGAAGTTCCTCCTATTCGCACGAAGCGATTTGCTTCGGCCTTCATTATACGAACGGCTAGGGAGTGGAACTCCTTGCCGAGGTCTGTTTTCCCGGACCAATATAACCTGGACATCTTCAAGGCCAGAGTGAACAGGCATCTTCTAGGCAGGCGTGTACCATCCTAGGCCTCATCATCGCTTTCCATCAGGTGAGATTGTAGTCAAACGCATTGCCTATATTGCATAAAAAAAAAAAAAAAAAAAAAAAAAAACATAACCCATTTATATTGAGAAACGAAAGCTCAAACAACTTTGAATAATCATTAATTATTTATATTGAGAAATATTCGTAATTTTATGTATTTCTAGCACTCGTACCGAATGGGATATGACGGTGATGTCGTTTTCGATTTAGACTTAATTTTTGAAGTGAAAACTTCTTTAGCGGCGTTGTACACTTTTTTTTGTATTAGTAAAAAATGTTAAACTTAAAAAAATGGTTGCCTGTAAAGTCGGTTTTACGGGCGAAGATTTTACGTGACAACGTCTTTTTCTCGGTAGAATATTTATTGATATGAATATAATTAAATTGCACAATAGGAACAAGGAATTGAATGAAAATAAGAATTGCACAAATTTTAACTATAGAAATATATTTTGTCTACTAAAACATTGTACATGTAAACTTAAACTTAACACGAGAGACTCATCGTAACGTTACCGAGCGTTACACTTTTTCATAAGTGACTCCCAGCCGCAACCTAATTTAAGACGTTGTCACGTCAAAAACTAAAAATTCATAAGACGAAAACGATAAAATTGGAAAGGTTGTTGACTTTCAATATGTTGGACGAAACATAGTAATATAAATAAATAAATAAATATTTCCAACACTCGCACCGATTAGCCTAGCCCCAAAGTGAGCACTGTAGGCTTGTGTTATGCGATACTAGAGAAACGAATGGAATACATGTACTGTACATATATAAGTATATTTTTATAGAAAATACATATTAAACTAGATTTGAACCCGGGACCTCTCGAGTCGGCGACACCATGAAACCCGGCGTACAAACCACTCGGCCACGGAGATCATATTATTATTGTAATTATATTTATTATTATAATAATAATATGATCTCCGTGTTCGAGTGGTTTGTACGCCGGGTTTCTTTGACTAGGACGTCCAGGTGGCAGCTTTATTGCGCAGAAAATGTAAGGTAATTGCGTCTAATAAGGGCCGGGTTTTTGGAAATCGAAATAAATCAATGTGGATGGAAGTGTGATAATTAGTACGACGTCATGATCAACCAAACTGTTTTTATTTGAAAAGAAAACGTTGCACAAAGACAACACACGAATGACCATTTATTTACAAAAAAGTTTTTTAACAGCTTGTTTATGGTCCTTATTGTGTACTAGGGCTCGAATTAAGGTCCATGATTGAACTGCAAGATTTCAGACGTTGAGTATCAGAAAAAATAAATCTTTAGATAGTGGTTGGTGATGGTTTTAAACTACTTTCAACTTCATGGCTTTCCAATATTAAAACGGTAATTCATATAATTTAGTATTGTGGCCCTTATAAAGTCATACGAAATATATATAA